GTTTATCGCATAATCACGTGGGTACACAATTTCATACCCGTGTAACAGTTTTATATACCGGTCTCTCATTATAACGGTGCCGGTATAGACAGAGTTGACTGTATTCAAATTATTCTGTACAATATGCGGATCACGGGGATAAATACTCGATTATCGAAATATTCGGATTATTTTGTCGGAATAATGCACGATTATCGATATATGATTGGATGCATCGTCAGATGTATATTTTACTGTCTCGTACGAAGTCTCGGTAGAGAGCAACTCTGCAACTGCAGGTGGCGTATCAGTTTGGCTTACGACGACAAAAATTAGCCACAGTCGTCATTCGAGCGACGTGAAAAATAGAAATCGCACGTCAAGCCACGACACATACCTTGATGGCTCTCGGATGACGATACAAATTGATATCGAACTTGACTTTTCTAAAGGGTATATGGTATGACTTGAGTTTTGCAATCTACACGTCATAGTTGAGGGGGAATAACCTATACGCTGAGGGGGAATAACCTATACTAAGTGGAAATAACATAATTATGTTATTTCCACTCTGTTTAAAGAGAATTGACGAACGATATCAACTGTTACTATCTTGTACAAGTTTACGTGACGTGTTCAGTGAAATAATCTGTCTTTTTCAATTGCAAAACCTGCTCTCTGAAAGATGGCTGAAGAAAAAATCAAGATTTTATTTGTCTGTTCAGGTTGGTGCTCAGGAGATTTAAATTTATCTCGCAACTTACTAAAAATTAACTACGTTTGACATTAGGAAACACCTGCCGCAGGTAAGAGAGCATTAGTATTAGTTTTGTTTGCCAATACTACAATAATCTATATAAAAGAAGAAACATCTTTTTTATTTTGGTAGCCCTATGGCAGAAGCGGTATTCGCACATGTGTTACAAAAGAATGAGTTAGAAGATCGATTCTATCTAAATAGCGCGGGAACACATTGTTACAATCCCGGAAATCCGCCAAGTACTATTGTGAAATCTAATACCAAGGATGTACTTACTCAACGGAAACTGGTATCCTAATTTTGCTTATTTATTGTTCTAGATCCGCGAACAATTGAGGTATGCCGTAATCACGGTATCCCAGTGAGTCACCATTCCCGAAACGTGAGTGCCATATAAACCATTCCTTTCAGTATGCTTGTTACCCTTTCCCCCTCACGTCTATTTATACCACAGGTTGCAGAAGATGACTATTATGAATTTGACTACATGCTCTGCATGGATTCTAGCCATTTGATGTTTTTAAATCAATTAAAACCGGAAGGATCAAGGGCCAAGATTATGCTGTTTGGAGAATTTGATCCACAAGGTGTTCGTAGTATTGATGATCCCTATTGTCGCAACTTAGATGCATATGAGACGGTTTATCAGCAAGTGTCAAGATGCAGTGAGGCTTTCTTGAAACACTTAAATTCCGCATAATAGCAGACTGGAAATTGCTTATGAATGAATTGCAATGAACCAAAAGTCATTTTTTATATAAATAATGAAGATGCTACATCTGCTATTGATTATATTTGCAAATACTTGTTGTTCAGGACATTGTGCTTGCCCAGTTTAAAGTTTATATACTAATGTCTAATTTTCCCAATTATTAATTGGAAACATGTCCAGGCAAAGTGAATATATTACCATACAGTATTTCAGCTTGATCCAGTTTTGAATACCATAAGAATAACTTATTGTAATGGGATATTGGATTATTATTATCCATTCCATCAATAACTTGTTAGCTTGCCTTTCTAACCTAAGTCTTCTTTCCTTTAAACAATCCCTCAGACTTTTAACCTATTGACTGACAAGTGAGAGGACAAGCAAAAGACTGATGCATGCTGTTAGTTTGAGCTATTTCTTTTTAATTTTTGCTGTATGACAATAGTAAGGATGATGTTGTATTGATATGACCGAAGAAAGTCTGAATGAAGCAAGGGACATATTATTAACAGGGTGAATGAAGAGACTTAGGTCGATAGAGCATATTTGGTAAAGTTTAATGACGTATATAGAAGTCGCCAGACAAATTCTCGAACGTGGACTAGATACGAATGTTCATATGTACGGTATACGGCGAACAAAAATCTTGAGTTCCAGATCACCTTACTGGTTTTGGTTATTATTATCAATATTGTTACTCACCTGGGGAGTTGTGCCCAAAATTGGCCGGGTAATGTTTCCAAGTTTAGACATCCGCGTCAATTACGCCGTAGATAAAATGCGGTGGCTGTTTATACTTCTTATTGTCAATATATACACACTCTTGTTAAACCATCTAATCAAATAAATAAATATATTACATCAATAATCGAACTATTCTTTTGCGTACGACAGCTAAATATTAATTTACCTGCATTTCTATTCAATGTACAAAATAGAACTATTATTAGAACAAAGATCTTCTAGTAATCAAAATGATAACTTTTAATTAATTCCATTACCAATCATAGTATGTATTTAATACCAACATTATGACTCATTATTCGTCAAAATCTGCAACGATTTTTATCTTCAATGATAGAATTTAGCGAGTGTTTATAAAGCAGATGAGGTAAAACTTGATTGTAATTAAAATTCTAACTGTACATACTCAACTCGTATGTAATTTCGGAACCTAAAATTTTCGATTTTGAGTATTAACGATAATAATAATCGCGACAAAGATCGGTTTTGCGTTTTTGAATATGAATTACTTTAACGGATAAATTGACACTGATTATAAACATAGTTTATTATCTTATTATGTCGTTTGTAATTAACAATAATAATATTAGACTAGTAACTATTGCAAATGGATACTTATTAACACCTTGAGGTCAGGTATCATGTGATTTACTCCTCCAAGTTGGGCCGAAAACTCATGACTCTCCCTTAGGTGGAATTTTACTATTCACGAATTTGGACACGTTAAAACACCTTTCAATTGATCTGGATAAACTCTCTTGCAATTTGACGGTAAAAGAAAATACAAGCAAGGAAGAATGCTGAACGACTAGCGAGTATCTGAATATTCGATCATCGATGCTTTGTCGTAATAGTAAGAGCTTGACGACTATGTGAGAAGTATTCGGCTTAGAAAGACCAGACCTTATGATTGACACAGAAAGGAATTTGTATAAAGACAATGTATAACACCGGGAGTTTAATATACGTACTCGTTAGAAGGTTGATACTCGCTTGATACAACAAAAGTTGTAAATGTTAGAAGTTATAGAGATGCGAAGCGACATGAAGTTACAGTATAAAGAAAAATCCTCTGTTGAGGCTGAATCTAACGAGATAATGTATATGTTGGAACCTGACCTTTGGTGATGTTAAAGATATATTAATGAAACTATTATAATAGGTCAGAAACGTTATAATTCTTATTTACCCGGATAGGTATCTATTGTCTAAGATATATTCAACCAATTTAAGTTGTGCTACGAAACACGAATCATGAAAGATAATATCACCGCAAAAACATTCGCCTAACAAAAGGAAATCATAGATAAACTATTTGGTAATTATGTTCGTTTTAGCGACATAATTATTATGAATAGATTATTTGAATAGCATAAATAAAGTTTCATCATTAGGGTCTATTACTATCCCAATCACACGGCACCTTTTTGCCCACCTCAGCCACAATACTGGTCCTAAATGCAGGCTCCCTAACATAAAATGCATCCCTTGAGGCGCATTTAAGGCAGGTAATTCTGTTGTATCAACAGCAATGTTCAATAACACTTAGACTCAATCCTACACACGTGATAAACTAATAATAAAATATGCGACTTGCTTGTTGGCTTGGCAGACTTGCGATTTTCCTCTTTGGATCGAATATTTTTACCATGGCTCTACGAACGACCACCACAGCAAATGTATCGTCGACAGCAGTATCATCGTCCACGACTTCTGGAGTCTCCACCACTACTTTCATGCCTACGTCCACAACACCATATCCAACTCAAATATCGCCAACAGAATCTCCTCAAATACGGCATCCGTTTCCTGACATCGATGCTCAACGCAATCTCTATTTCACGTATACAATAAATCTCACACCGTATTACATCTCATTCCCTAAAGATACCGATTTATCACTAATAAAGTTATCCTTATCATACGATCCTGTGTCGACATCGGATTGGGTCACATTTAACGAACCTCTGAAGACGATATCGGGAACTCCACCGGACAATGCTGCTTCCAATACAACGATATCACTGAATATATCATCTGGCTCTTATCAGAACGCTACTACGTCAACACAGTTTTACTTGATTGTTCAAAATGGACCATTTGAGAATTTAGCTGTGTCGGGAAAAGTTATCAGTTTGATTGTCGGACTAGCGGTTGGGATGATTGTTGCTGCTGGAGCTGTCGTTGCGTTTATTATGGTGCACAGATGGAAAGATAGGCACCGGTGAAAAAGCAGAAGATCATGTGGTAGAAGGCTAAAAGAGGCGAGCGCAGATATGACTCATTACAGATTATGGGGAACTGGTGATATGCGAACAATTGTATAGCATATGGTGATCGAGCATCCAACAAAAAACTTTGATATGTTATAATAAGGTCTTCTCATGATATAATTACGACGTCAATATACTACGGGTTTATTAATGTTTAATGATATGATAGGACGATACGCTCATCTAGAACGTTAGCAAGAACAATGTAATTGGCATTTAACTGCCAGAATGGGCTTCAACTATTTTGAAAGTGAATTAACTTGATTTTGTCTTGGAAATGATGCTGCGATTTTGATTTATTATAATGTTCGTTTGATTTATATTGATACTTGTCAGCGTTACGCTGAAGTATCTTGCGATTCATCTTCGTAAAAACTCTTACCTATTACCTTCTATTACATTTTGTGTAGAGACAGGGAACACTTCTATAGGTATAAAAGCGTCATCCGTTCGGCTTACAAAGACGGATACTAATAATATTCTAGAATAGATCTACGTCATAATTACGTCTTGGTGGGGTAATAAAAATCTTCAGGCTACAATTATAGTTGATTAACGAGGTACATTGTATTTTAATAGAATTACGTGCGTTATTCAGGGTTGACCCTAACTCTACAAACCGAAAAATAATCACAAGACGTCTTGATGAGCTTTTATTGTTAACACAAAACGCTTACGGCATGAAGACATTAGTTGCAAATTTGTCCTCTGACAATTGCGTTTGCTTGACTTTATTCCGTTACGAAAAAACTACCCAAGTGATTAGGTTCGGATAAATAGTCATAGCAACCTAAGATGAAGTTGATCTATCTAAATTTACCGTGAAGCCAAAATCAATCACGCTGTCATAGATTCAAAACCTGATTCCGCCTCTTTATCTAATTCTAACTCTGATTCTGATGATTCTTCATCCGAAGTCGACCAGATGATGCACACATCAATAAATAAAGCCACAATAAAACGATGATCTTTGTTCGCTAATTTTGGGTCTTCTTGGCATTCTGAATTGGTCAAGCAACATATCACGGCATTGTATAGTATATATATTTAATATTTAAACTATACTGTGTGTTATTTCTAAAACAACCAAGTAAACGAACACGACTTCATCATTTTAGAGATACAAGGAATTATGCCAGGACGCTAAATTTGCGTATTTTCAGTGAAACTGACAATATCGTTAATGCACCCAACAACTTCGTAGGCTGGATGTTTTTACGAAAAAATTTTTAAACGAAGGACGCAAGCGATTTAGGTATAAAATTACTATAAATGTACCCACATCGCAATATAATATGGATAACTATTTCTGAACCGTCTACTTTCCTTCATCAAAAGTTATCACTTGGAATACAAAAATGCTGGCTGTGCCGGTATACATGTTGTGCGCAATCAATAATTATCAAACGTCTTGTGTTGACTTTTTAAGTGGGTCTTCACCTTAGGAGTTAGGATTAGAGCAAACATTTCCCTCGGTTCCCGTTTTCCATAATTTACGAGTCGCAACTCGCGTAATTCACGTAATTTTATTTGTTTCTTATTTGCTTTTCAGAGGAAGATATCACTTTGGGGCTATCTGAAAATGGTGATGTTCACAACATCAGTTCGTCTCTATTTAGCGGAGAACACAATAACAGTTTGTTGACAATCATAGGAATGAGCTACCATTATAAGTTCATATTCAGCATAGATTTATATGAGCTATGTTAACGTGCACCAACAAGATACGTTAAGATTGATTTCCCAGTCTTTTTCTGTTGTAGGGCATGATTGCGCCATCTCTCCAATATGTGAATGACATGAAGAGGATAACACTTTTGACTGACAAATCAAGAAACCTTGACATATGAATCGCCCACTCATTTAGATATACGCGTCTTCAACAGCAAATTTATCTTAAACGTTCTACAAGTTGTCACGTTTAATTATTAAAATTGGTTCTCTGGTTTATTTTATTATGGTAACACGATGTTACAGGCCATCACGGAAAATGAATTGGAAACGGTATTCAGTACTCCAATGAAGTCTACTATTTCATACTGACCTTGCCACGAATTGTAGTTATAAGCGGTTTATCGGAATTGTACCAAACATCGCTTCAGCTTATTATAATCAACTGCTTTAATAGTCTGACAAAAGGAACGTCAATAAACCAACACGATTCAGTCCACCCGGAAGTAGCCTCATCGCCAATCGATCGTTTAGACAGACCGCCCGTTATTAATCTTATCTATTTGTAGACGTCTGAATTTCTTGTATTCAAAGATTCAATCTTGAGTTCTATTACGATATTCCGGTATTCTATAGCTGACACGATACAAGTCTAAACGTAATCTCCTCCAACAAAAATTCTAATCAAGCCTTCATTTCGTGCGCAAATAATTTAACATACAAGCCACGTCCTTGCTCTAGAAACACAAGTGTTAATATGGTATGCGGCCTAAAGCACGAGAAGTAGTGCAAGTCAGAATTGATAGTTTCAAAGTAGAAAGAAAGCGATATCGAGGAAGGAAACGGTTTTTACAAACCCAATTCGCAAATAATGTGCATTGAATCCTTTATATAACCCTGTGATTCCTTCTGTCTTTAGTGTTTTAATGAAACAATCGAAAGTATTTTTGTACAACCTAATAAGCAATAAGAAGCAAAAGTTTCACAGTTAATTTACCGATACAGATTCATCAGATACTCAGAGTCTCTCTCATACATTGGTTTTGACGTCTTGACGCTCTGCGTTCATCTCGAATACTTACACTCCTTTTCCACTTCCATCGTGTTTCTGATTATACATCCTCGTACTGATGACATCAAACGGATTCATTGCCAGACAGACACAGAAGCCGGACGCCAACGAACTAATTGCATGTACCACAATATCTGCCTCCCCTCTACCAGTTGTTTTCATTACCCATCTCTTGACGAAAAAATAACTCGGCAACTGTGCACTACTGCCAACGCCTGTCCTGAGCATGCTCGCGCCAACGCCATGGAACAGGCCACGAACACCGCTTTGACTGTAAACTTCTTTTAGTGCGGTTAGAGTGGATGTGTAATTATGTTGATGGCCGACGGCGACATGTTTGGAATGTGATTGCATGCGAGTTTTCACAAGAAAGAGAGGAGAGCCGACCGTGGCAGCTATCACCCCGGCTGAGCCACCGGATGCAATCGCGATTGGCATCGAATTCGGGGAGGTGTTAAAAGCTGATACGAGAGAATTGCGAATTGGATCGTAGAGGCCCAGACGGACGCCATTCATTGCTAATTGGTAGGCATATGCGGGACCTGTTTTGTAAAATTGGAGGGAGGGAAGGAGGGCATTGGGCAAAGAAGAGAACAAAAAACAATGAGAGTTTTCGTTGGGTAATGTGATCGAGTGATTGGAAAAACGAAGTTGGACTATAAACGTTCGAATAGCATAATTACCCAGTCCTTTCTGTATTCCTCGGATCTTTTCATGTTTGAGAATATAGAAAAATGCTTGGAAGACGTTTTTGTATGGTTTCGCTATGTTTGCATTCGCTCTGGCCAGCTCCCCTTGTAACTGCAATCGTGTCTTTACCACCTAAAAAATTTTTTGAGAGCGATCTATCGGCTAATTGTACTATAGTTACTTTTATTATGACAAAGGCTATATAATTTACCTCCCAAGGATTACTGAAAGTAACCGCAGCACAAGCAGCTAATCCGCCGATGATGAATCCGGGTACGGCTCCAATTTGATTTCTTGCTGATGTGTTTGACATTCTCTTCACCTGCTAATGACTGGTATTCCTGGTAGCGCTAAACGATTAGAGAAGTGTTACTATGAAGTAGAAATTGGATGATATTAGGGCGGCAAGTTCGTCAGTGATTTGGGATTTATATTTTTCGGAATATTTTCATCAGGAAGGTTGGTACAAGGCAAAGGCAACATTCTTACTCAATATGGGATTCGATAGCCTGCCCGGCCATAATAACAGAATTGTCTTTATTGGATGTTTTAGTATCGGCACTTCGAGTGCCACAAAAGGTTGTCTGCATCCATAATAATTAAGGCAAGAATAATGAGATGCTTAAAATAGATTATTCGGTATTTTCACTTTTGAGCAATCTAAATTTGTCGTTTTCGATTTACTTTGTGGACTAATAATTGCTTTAAACCTGTAGGGCTTGTCAGTTGTCGCAATCATTTCTCTCCCATCACATTAACATATGATCGCCTCTTTAACACTTGCTAGGACGTTTCAAGCCCAAGCTTTTTCTAATCGCCTATTCTCTCAATAACCCAATCATTCCCTCTATTCTTACGATTTGATGAGGCAAGGGTATTAGTATGCGATTCTTAGCCAAAGTATCTAACACACAATATAGTCTATGAGTGTAAATGATTTCGTTGTCTGAACGAGTTACTGTTTCACTTTTAAAAGATCTGACCAGATCTCAATCGACCGACAGTAGTAATACCGTTGGGTTTTTTTTCTTTTGACAACACCCGAGCACATTGCTATCGATTATAATTTTGAAAAATTTCTCATAGAACCATTTAGTCAATTAACAACAAATGATACTTCATCGGATATTATGGTTTTGGATAGCCCGGAATTTCTATCACGATATGCTCTTATGTTAATTCGAATATGCATTGTTCATCGTTTTGAAGCGAGAATTAAGTTCAACGTCTTTGGAAGTTGACATAATTAGTAGAGGTAAATATTCAATAGCGGTTTGTCGAGTACGTGGGATTATGCAGGAAGATTAGTCATAAAAATATCTTTCTAATGCTCCAAAATTCTGGTGTGTTCTTGCAACCAACTCTTTATAAATTATTTTGTCTCAAGGTAGCATTAAGACATGATAGCTATCTGCTTCGATACACGCTCATTACGCACTATATGTATTTAACGGATGCCTATTGCATTATAGTATTTCTCCGTGCGTTAGAAATTGATTTACATCTCGATAGCTGCAAGTATATCACGTGTTGTTTATAGATTCTCTGTTATTATAGATGTCTCTCTCAAGAATGTCCAAGCCTGATAATAAGAAAAAAAACTTGTATAGTCCGTATTTTGTCAAAGTTCCTTCGGCGTGTGTATCGAAATATTTTCGTACATCAAAACGATCGAACGATGTGAGAATTAGTTGCATAGACAATCGTAAAGGGAGAGGAGCGAGGCGAAAAGAACGAGAGGATGGATGTATACCAAAAAATCGTGACGTCGACCGGAGTAAAGTTCCGCGTAGAATAAAATTCAAGGATGATGATGAACCTGCTGGAACGATTGGACGTGATATGCAATCGACACCTGGGTGTATAGGCTCTTGTTCCCGTAAACAACACTTTATTCCTGTGCCATCGCCGCTGAATCTCGTTCAGGAGACACTTTATTACGACCCATGGAAGGCAAGCTGATGCTACCAACATTTGTTTTCCTTAAAATATTATGTCACCAACGTCTCTTTTATTTTTGTGATTACGTGGATAGTTTCTTATTGGTACGATATTCCTGAATAAGACTAACGCCACCGTGGCTCTTCCTATGCTATGGAAGTTCTTCGACAAGTACTTTTCGCCTGAGAGTGCTGTCGGTGCAAACGTTAAAGAGTTGAGTAAATTTTTGCGTCCGATGGGATTGAAGTTACGTATAATCTGCATGAACTTTTGCTAAATGCACATGCCTATTCTAATGGATTAACTAATTTCGACATTTATACTTCTAACAGTAACACGCGCGCGGAAAGAATAATCAAGTTCTCGCAATCGTACCTTGCCAATCCCTTGTTTACTTCTCCGCGAGAGCTGTGAGTAATGGAATTCGTAACATAAACCGTTGATAACACTGCTTTGCATTGACGCGCCCTTATTCCACTGCGGTAGTTTTGGAATGGGAAAATATGCCGAGGACAGCTGGAGGCTGTTTTGCGGAAAGACGGATGACGCATGGAAGGAAGGTTCAGGGTTTATGCCTGACGATAAGATGTTGCGTGCATATATATTCTGGAGAAGAGAATATGAGAAGAGAAGAAATAAAAACTGATAACAAGTCCACGTAATGAAAACTTTTGTGTTAATGGCCAAATTAGTAATGATGAGGCATGCTGCAACAAAACCAAGAATTGAAATTAACTAATGTAACTGATGAATTGTAAGAAACTCTCTCGTCAAGAACAAGCGACACCTAAGCAATAGAACTATTAGTAAAACAAACAGAACAACATAACCAAAAAAAAACTCTCAAACGAAATTAGATTTAGTATCAGTAGCACAGTTATTTTTATGTAAAAATATGGAACTCAAAATTACAAGTATAAATATTTTAACAGAGAACAAGGAGAAAAATTTGCATCGTATACGTTTATATAAGATAGACAGCATGGTTTTACATTTATTCTTCGACTCTAATTTCACCATATTGTTTTGGGCTAATTGTCGCAAATTTTTATAAATATCAGAATAACCAAACGGTTTTGGGCCCGAATATCTTACCTACGCAATCACTCTGATACTCTATTTGTTCAAAAGCGAATCAGTCACATTTTAATCAACTTTTGCAATTTTCCTTACATCCAACTTACAATGAACCATGAAACAATTTAATGTAATAGTTTCCCGCCACGGCTCATAGTCTTTGACATGCTGTTGATAACGACTGCTTGAGCGCATTCCGTTGAGTTTTGATTCGCATTTTTTACTTTTGATACAAAAGAGTCCTCGTTTATTGCTTATTTATATTACAATATTATATTTCATTTTTTTAATAAATTTATAATCAGTTTTCTTTATTATTATCTAGATACTGTATATGATAATTAATTTCATATTGTAACATGTTATGTAAGCTTTATTTCAACCAACCAATTTGCTACAATATGGCTCAAAAAGAATAGAGCTGGTTCATGGGGCTATGCATGAGCTGCTGTTGTCCACTAAAGGAAAACCTCCATCATTTACATTAATATTAATGCGTTTACCACGAATACATACTATATAACAGAGATAAGTATAACTAGTGTCTATGGATGTCTTTGATAACTTTGCTAAATTTCATAAAAGTCTCAAAACACGACCGTAAACTTATTGTTAAACCTTTTTATTATAATACAGAGACTTTGCAAATCAACTCGAATATTTAAAATGTTGACAGTTTAATATTAAGTTTTGTATTATGTAATAATAGTACGTAACACAGTCATTTAACTTGCCTAATGGCGGGATTGTTTACACACAAAAAGGGTTGATCGACAAGTTCATTTAATTTCTAACGCGAATTTTCAAGATAGATAAATATAGTTTAGTGCGGGGACGGAAAAACCGCGAGTTCCTTCAGATTTAATTACACTCTGCAAATCATTAAACCAATTTATTTCACCAAGACAAAGTCGCTCAAGATCCCAAAAAGAGTATCTTTATAAGAACAATTTTCAACTTAAGCATAAATCGATGTAATGACCATACTAGATATTCCCATCTTGAAAAATTGCCTGTAAGAAAATATAAATACTATTATAAATGTACATAAAAATAAAAAACAAACAGGAAATATAGACTCCTCTACAAAACAATCCGTTTTTGTAAGATTGCCTCTAAAGTTTCTGACAATACAAGTGAATAATTACAAAAAGGAAATTGAGTATTCATCATCACAATTTGCTGACTATGTTATCAACCATATTCCCTTGGATTCTCTCTTCCGTCAATTCCACCAGCTTTCGCTAACCAATGGCTTATCATTCCATTTCGCGCTCGCAGTGTTATCTCCATTATTATTACTCTTTCCTCCTTCCAAATGCGGGACAGGCGTCGAAGAAGATCTACCCCCAAGATTTTCATTTCCCATATCATTATTTACGTTCTTACTCGACTCGGATTGTGCCGCTTTCTTTTGTCCACGATTCTTACCCTCACGTTTGTGATTGGGTTTATTCGGTCTGCTCGAACTGGATGAGGAATTGTTAATGTTACGAGAGGAACTACGACTATGGGCTTTGCGCGTCGGCGAGACTGGTGAAGAAGAACGTTGTTTCGCTTGAGGTTTGGTGGCACTGGACTGGGACGATTGCTCAGATGACGGAAGATATGATTGATCGTAGGCTGACTGTTGAGGTATCGCTTGCGATGATTGGTTTCCCTGTGCAGTGACAGACTGTGGCGGAGGTCCATGTGGCGGGTAACTTGGAGCTAGTGGTGGAAGAGGTTGTTGCACTATTGAGGACACTCCATTTGGTTGATTTGATGGCATCATTTGAGATGGTTGTGTATGGGGTGGTTGAGTATGGGGTGGTTGCGCGTGAGGTGGTTGTGTATGAGGTGGTTGCGTATAAGGTGGTTGTGCATGAGGTGGTTGCGCGTGAGGTGGTTGTGCGTGAGGTGGTTGCGTATGAGGTTGTTGGATATGAGGTGGTTGCGTATGAGATTGTTGGATATGAGGTGGTTGCGTATGAGGTTGTTGGATATGAGGTTGTTGGATATGAGGTGGTTGCGTATGAGGTTGTTGGATATGAGGTTGTTGCGTATGAGGTTGTTGGATATGAGGTGGTTGCGTATGAGGTTGTTGGATATGAGGTGGTTGCGTATGAGGTTGTTGCGTATGAGGCGGTTGGACATGAGGGTGAGGAGATTGAACATGAGATGATTGTGTGGGGTTCAATCCGTGCGGTTGTTGCCCATGTTGTAGGCGTGGTTGTTGTCCAGGTTGTGGATGTCCGTGCAGTGGATGTCCATGTGGTTTATTATAAGGCGCTGGTGGAGGCAACGAAACAGACATCGTATAACCCGACGCAGATCCTTGCGGTGAGTACGTGTCGCCATCTCCGTTTGACATCAAATTATCCCTAGCAATTCTGTGCTCATCCACGAGATCCCCCCAACCATTAACACTGCTCTGTCTACTGTGCGTCTGACTAAGTGCTGGATGAGTTCCGAATGTGTTTGACGACACTGGTGTTTTGTGCATCCGCGAAAGCTCTGCATTTAGTCTTGTCTGTTCTTCTTCTAAAGTCCTTACTCGTTTCTGCGATTCAAAGAGTTCAGCGCGAACTTTGGTTAAACCCTCAACGTCGTCTTTTAAGGTATTGACGAGTTCCTGTGTGTGACGGAGATCGGAACGCGTGGCTTCTAACTCTTGATCCTTTAAGCGGAGTTGAGTCGCGTATTCTTGCACCTTCGACTTTTCTTCAAACATTTGCGAATTTTGGTCCGTAAGATCTTGAACCTGAGTCCTAAAGTTCTCCAGTTCGGTCAAATTCTTCTGTACCTGCTCTTCAAGAGAACGACAACGCTGTTGTGCGGCCTCCATCTCTCGCCTTTGGCCATCCAATTCGGCAATACGTGATCGCAATTGTTCAAGTTCCGCACCTCGCATTTCCCATTCTTGTAGACGACGTTTAAGCAAGTTGGTTTCTTCGACCTGTTTTTCTAGTTCAGCAATACGACGACACACACGCTCGAGTTCGGATGTCTGGCCTTCGACATCTTTAATATGTTGTCTGAGAGTTTTAATCTCTTGCACTTGCACTTCAAGTTCCCCGTTGCGTCTGCGCAATTGATTCAGCTCCTTATGCTCTTTTTCGAAACTTTCGATTTGGGCACGAAGAGCCGCCAATTCTTGTGCGTGCATATCCTTCTCGCGTTGACCTATCTGCGTCAGTTCAGAACGCGATGTCTCTAATGTTTTAACACGATTACGTAGTTGAGAAAGTTCTATTTCGGCTTCCTTTGCTTTTGAACGAAGTGGCTGCACTTCGTTACGATAACTGTCATTCTGTTTTTGTAGTTCTGTACACTTGGCCTTTTGCCGGCTAAGTGCATGCTCGAGGTCTTGATTACGTTCTTGCAATTGCTTGGCAGATGATGCTTCAGACTCTAATTGACGCTGGTGCTGACGCAATTCTTCAAGTTGTTTTTCACTCTCTTTAAGCTTGGCAATTAAGGTGGTTTCGTTTGCCTTCCACATTGTCTCAGCTTCAGCAAATTGACGTTCGTGTTCATGTGCTGCTCTGCCTATATCCAAGTGGAGCTGACGACACTTATGGTCGAGTTGGCTATTATTTTTCTCGTAATTGGTTTCCTTTTCCTGCCATTGCAGTTGCTGTTCGCGCCAATCTCTTTCTTTCTCGTTGAATTTTTCAATCTGATCTTGTTGTGCGCGATTCTTATCCTTATACGATTGAATCTGAGCGGTTAATTCTTTAATTTGAAGGTCACGGGTCTTTAATTGATCGCGTGCATGTACGAGCTCATTCTGGAGACTGTCATTACGAGTATTATCGCGTTTGTAGATGCTGAGTTCGTTACTAAGTTTTGCGTTCTCGTTTCCAAGTTCGATATTTTTACTCCGCAGTTTTTCATTCTCCATGTGTAATTTCCCAAGTTTTTCCTCAGTATCACGTAATCTTGCTTGATGGTTAAAGTCATTATGCATTTTAGTGAGGAGCTGTGCTTGTTCTGATTGCAATTCATTCTGACGAGCCTGAAGTTCTTTGATGCTTTCAGGAATAGTGCTTACAAGCTGTGAGTAATTTTTATATAGTGTCTCTTGCATTGTGTACAGGTCTGACTGACGCATTTGCAGCTGGTTAGCTTTGGAAGTTTCATTTTGAAATTGAGCTTGTCGATTATGTAACGCTTCTGCGCGTGTTACGATATCTTGGTGATTAGTGCGAATCTCTTGACAACTGTTTCTTATCTCATTCAAGAGCTGTTCGTATAGGGATTCCAATTTCTCGTCATTTTGCGCAGTAGTCTTGACCGATTCTACAGAGTCAAGATGTCTGATTCGCGACAACGTTTTCTCGATAATTTCCTCAGTATTGGTTCCGGAATCAACTACAGTCTGTCGAGGTTGTTTTGACAATGCACTTTCTATAATTTTTTCGATATTGCCTCCAGAATCAACGACTGGCGGTCGAAGGTTTGATAGCGCTTTCTCGACAATCTTTTCGATATTTTCGGAAAGACTCCTGGGTTGCTCCCGCGCGTCTTTGACAATTCTTTCCACCTCCTTTCCAACGCGACCGACCAACTCTGTCAGTTGCTCTTGGATTATCTCAACATCTATATTATTTCCGCTTACTTGATTGGCATTGTTTCCTGATGCAATCTTGTCTAGTTGTTTCTGGAAGCTTTCCAAGCGAGCAAGTATGTCACTCGCAAAACGGCTCATATCTTCTGACTTTGTGTCTACAAACACTGGAGTTGGCGTACCGTAAAAGGGAACAGTAGTGCCCGTTGTGTCATAGCCAGGGTAAGGAGAATAAGCTGTAGTAGAATCTATACCCATCATGTCAGACGAAAGGTTGCGGCGTTTTTTCTTATAATTCATGTCAGGATCAACATCGCCGTTTATATTCTGGGTATATTAAAGAATCGTAAAACCGAGTTATGCCATTGTATGATATTATTCAAATACCATTACCGAATGAATATGATTAATCTGATCTTATAATACTCACCCTGTCTTTCACTTTTACTTTTCGCGGACTTTCCGGTCTCACATCTGTCATTGGCGTCACCGTAGTAGCAAACAATGTTGGAGTAAATTCACGCGCGTTGACGTTCAGCTGACTCTTTCTCCGCGCTTTCTTCTCATGATCGTCATAATCACGTTCTCTTGATTCTCGCTCGTCATTGATTTGTTCCGTCCTTGTGAAGGAGTCATGGGTAGTGGATGGCGTGCCTGCACGTGCGGGAAACTTGTAATCTGCTTGTAATCTGCCTAGATTTGCTGGTTTTTGTTCGAAGGCTTTAGCAAAATTTTCCAGTGCTTGTATATCTGTCGAATCTAGTGGTTTCTGTTAACGACGCAGGCAAAAAATGAAAAGTAATCGCAGACCGCGGAATTGGGGACCAATAAGAAATGTAAATGTTAACGACATTTCCACCAAAACGTTAGAGATTGTAAACGCATAGCATATCTTTTACGATCGGGCCGAAACAAATCAAGCTACCTCTCTAATTCCATTAAGTGCATTAAAGGCCTCGTCGCGGGCCTCGTTTTTAGTCTTGTCCCTTGGTGGGTACCGCACACGCACAGCTTTATCATCCGCCAAGAATGACTCAGTCTGGAAGATGTCTGGTCTCGTGTTTACATTCGGTTGACTTTGCTGAGCCTTTATTAGCAGCAGGAATTAATAAACGGTTGCAAATTTATTGTGAGATATGCAAGGTAAGTATTTATGTTTACAACCCAAGTAAGCAGCAGATGGCATTTTTTCGATTCTTCTTACTTCTAATGCAGCCATATTGTCAGCCAGTGCTTCTTTTTGCCGTTTCTCTTCTAAAGTTAATGGCGGCATCTTCATTTTCTGAGGATCTGGTAATTTGACATTTGCCGCGCCCGTTTTCGAGCGCTTTGGCTTTTTGCCCTGGGGAGTCGGCGTTGGTGATGACATGATATACTACGATATTATATTGATAATATATTACAAGCTGTAGCAGCTGAATATTTCATACAAGGAAGAGAGAAAATGTAATAATCCCTCCAGAATCAACAATTTACAATTGTCTTCCAGAGTGTTAATAAGACGGTTGTGTAACCGCTGGATCCATCTAAGTTTGTTGGTGTAGTACAGATGAACACGGGTACAGAGCAGAACACAGTGAATATCACAAAGACGGCCAGACTCCCAATTCTGCATTGTACAAAAAGTATTCGTTATCAAATATATCAGTCCTCTTTGAGATCTCATTATTTCATAAAGGCTGCTTGAAGAAAGCGTCTATTTCACGAGCCCGAAAAAGTTTTTGGGGCTGGCCCTTGTTATGCATGCTACAGCGAACTAAACTTATTTTGGTTACCTCAAAACTGTAATTTATATCATGTGACTTTGACATTACAATTTCTAACCCCAAATTAATCGAATTTACACTAATGCTTTAAAAGAAAGTTTAATAACTGTAAATGGATCGAGCTGTGACTCATATTATAAACGCTTCCTCATTGGGTTCACATTGTTTGTCAGACTTTTTTTTTTTTAAAAAAAAAAAAGAAAGAAAAAGAAGAGAAAGTCGTTATTTCTATCTGCCAGTATATAACTTATGTAACACAATTTATTGAGAAGATTAGCATAATAATAATAATAATATATAATAAAACGCTTGTCCGTCAGTAATTAATACGGTTACGTCACTCTTTGACTGCGGTAATTTCGATCAGTAGTCAACCTTTCGTTAGGCTTTGTTTCTATTGTAAGTGTTACGTTCATCTGTAAAAAACGACTTTAAGATTCATTTGACGCGAATTGTGAATAGTGCACGCGCTGTGTCATCTCCTTTCTTCCGGTTTGCACTGTAAATACGGTCAAAACATTGACAATTTGCAAATTATAATGCATATACATAACAGACAATAGAAAAAAATTGGGGTCATGGTATTCGTCTGAAACAAAGGTTTGGCTTGATTTGGCCTATCAGCATCTTTTCAACAAATCGATTTTTAATTGCGAGCTATTAAAGCGATCGATTGGCTGATCGAAAATTTATAGTTTCACGTTCAGTGTTGTTATATTTAACCATGAGGTAAGAATGTTCTCCAGACTAGCTCGACAATTCCTATTCAATATTTTACCATTACATATAGTTTCAAGTGATAGTTTAAGAAAAAGTTTTTTGAGCCGTGACGATTGCAATAAAGTCTCTTTAGTTCTCATTTTGATTCATTGGCACATTTCTGCAAGAATATTTGTCACGATGCAATGCCCATGATGTCACGAGGCCAGTTAGTCAGATATCATGAAACGTTTCCTTTTGCTTTGGAGGGCATAAAATTAGCAACACATTAACATGTATGGCTTGGTCATCCTGAAACGATAACGTTCACGTTTTATTTTACATAATATTGTTTGTATCGATATGCACGTACCATTTGCGTAACCAAGATCTATGCATGACTCGATATACCTTATCTACGTAGAATATTCTACGTTTTACCAATACAAGAATGCTATGTTCCGTTTCGGGATTTGACTCATTGCGTCCATCTGTTCGAAGGTTTCTTTTTCTGTATACCTGTTACTTTACCCATCCCGCCCTTTGCGTTTTTAATATGTCAGCGGTTTCGGTTTAAGTGTGTTCATCCAACATACTGATCCTAATAAAATTCTTGTTTGTAACGGAATCCCGCCCAAGTCCCTACCCCTAAAGGCTTAACACCGATCGCATGCATCAAAGAGTATCATTCTATGAATAGCCATTGTATTAAATTACATGTTGGAGAGCATTATTGTTACATATTTTGCTATAGATAATAAAAATAACTGGAGTTTGCCCAAATTGTTTATACGACAGTTATACAAATTATATAAAATGAAACATCAGAAATGGCGCAGTAGAATGATAATATTTGCAGAATTGAATCGAGTCGACTCCATTCTCAAAGTTCTTAGAACGATACATATCATATGCGGCGTACCCTACGTAGAGAACGCTTGCATGGGCATCTTCATAAAGCTTACCAATACAATGTATGCTACATTGATTATACAACTCCATCGCTTATACACCACTACTGTCAGATTCGATTTGTAATACATAATAATTGACGTGTAATTACACAAATGAATGGTTATTAAGGAATCGCAACTATACCCGGAATCATAACGACAACAGTGAAGATACTTTAAAATTTGCGTTCGACAACAATATTATTAGCAATTCCACAACCAGCTTCCATTTTCCGGTTATAGCATTTATTTTTAGACCTGCGCCATTCGTGATCCTTACAAAGAACCAGTCCGACAATTACTGCATTATAGAAATTAATTGCAGAAATCCGGATAACGACTGTTTATGACTTTTCGATGTTTGGTCATACATCAAATTTACCGGGAAGATAAGTGAACTATTCTCCCGCCTGTATCACGAAATCAAATGGCACTTCCATATTAGTTCATGAAGAATAGATGTGTAACGAAAAGGTTATTGATTTAAGTCGTAGTTGACTAAACTCAATTGCAATTATTGACGAAAACGGATGTCAAAAGAACAATAGGATGCTACGCATACGAACGTATAAATATGTCGCATATATTACGAAATGAAAAATAGCGTACAGAGACTTTATAGAATCATATCATACTTATGCAAACGCCAAATGTTGAGGGTAACCAGACGTCATCCACATTATCGCCATCAATAGCAATAACAATCCCCATTCCATCACCCACGCCAACTTTGGTAATCCCGACTCCTTACCATGAACATTCTCGAGTAAGTTTAGCAGTAAATGCAGACGATGACTCGACTCCAAACAACCCGTTACATACCCAATGCATTGGAACAGAGGGTATGAGCGCAACCTCACTAGTCATAGAAGGCGATTCAAATGGAGAAGAAAGAGAGTACAGGTCCATAGGGAACAAGGGGACAATCAAAATATGTAGACTATGTCGTAAAAAAGAACATTTATCAAAGAAACAAGATACTTTACCTACGTGTAGCTCGTTCTCGTCTTCCACATTAACTCCGTCAAAACTCATCTCCCCGTGTAAATGTCTCACGCATAATCATTACGTTCACATCGAATGTTTGGGACACTGGCAGAATACACAGAACGATTCCCGTGCACATAATTCACAATTTATTTCATGTGACAAGTGTGGTTTCCAATATGGGTTGAATCGTCTCAAAGCGGCACAAATTATTTCGCATTGGGCGGTTAAACATTTTTACACGATGATTCTATTACTGTTGACTGTTTTATTAGTTAGTACAATCGCTCATTTTGCGATTAAACATCTTTTCAAGAATGGAATGGATGGTGAGTTTTTTCTCCATCCCTCATATTGTCAAATAAACATGTTTATAAACCATTCCATAACTCAATAATATTCTTTTTTTTTTCCCTAGACTTTCCTTCCAAATCGACAGACCCGCTCATTTTAAACTTGGACGAACCAACACAATTTTTTTCCCTATCACGTCTCGACTTTATTTGCGGCGTTTGCACAGTTTCCTGTTTTGGTATCGTCTATACCATACTGTCATTAAGATTTTCTTCCGCTTCACCAATTCCGTGTCTGGACATTCCTCTCACCTGCTGCGCAGTTCCGGATCAATCAGAGCACGGACACAATAAATGTGGATGCGGCGGTAGTAACGGTGATTTTGTGTTTGTACTAATTGCGATGGTATTCATGCTACTTGCATCGCTGGTTGTGTGCGGACTATTTGGTGCTGTATTCGGTGCTTATATTTTTATAAACAGAATAGTGGAACGGGTGATGGAGTTTGTGTGTGGGTGGATGGTTGAGGTTGGTAGGTGAATAAGTTTAACATATGGCAATGAACGAAAGAACTGTATTCTGTAAATAATTATCTGTGTTTGTATCATAATTGTTATATTAGCCTATATATATATACACGTACATAAGCACCCAATATATTCAGTCATGCAAGAGAATAGTAAAGTTTAACGTCGGTTTGATATTGTATACTTCTCTATAAAATAATTATCGTACACTTTTTGGGGTTAAAACATCGGTCTAAACTTTCATGTCTCAAAACAAAGGTTTGGTAATAATGCGAAAGAAAGTGTACAACGTTTGACTCTGGCATGCAACCAAGCGGATGTGATCAGTTTACTAATAAAATTCACATCAAGTGAACCATAAAGGCAAATTATACAACATGTAAAGAATTTGTTGGCATAAAAATTGCGACTTGTTTTTATTTAATTGCTTATTTTTTGTAATGTTTTTTGCAAGTTGCCGGTTTTTTAAAACGAAGCTTGCTACTTTGTAAAAGGAGTAAGATTCCAATGCGGACTATTCCAAAAAGACCGTGACGGGATCGACAAAAACAAATCTACAACGCCGCAATTCCGCAATTCAATAGAAATATCGTTAAAAGAAATGCCGAAAAGGAAATGTCACAAATCAGCAACATTCAAGTCGTTTATGGTAGAGTAATGAAATGCTATCCAGAAGCTATGTTAATTTATTAATACATCGACAAAATGCATACAGTATGTGAGTTGAGCTATTGAAAGCGATGGAGAAAAAAGCATGTTAAATTTTTGTAAATATACTGCGTTTTAACGATCAAATGATATATTAATTATGTAGGTTACTACGATAATATGTAAATTTCTTTACATCAACAATGTAAACAACGATCACTTTCGTAATTACTCTTCAACGCTCGACATTCAAGCAATCGAAACATGTGAGAGTGTAAAGCACATAAAGTCAGTACTAGAACATGGAAATCTTTATCCACCAACATCTGCTGTGCACTAAATAGATCGTTTATTTATTGCCATGTTTGTTAAGGTTTGAGTAATCGATTGACCGAAAGAAACATCATGCAAACGCTGTACGCAAAAGTCTGTCGTAGTTAATACTGATTTTTATAGCACGTAATTCAAATAATCTTGAATTTACATTAACACTTTAAATGTTAGCAACAGAAATAAAATACCGTGTCATGTTCCACATTAGCCGAACTCAATGATTGATGAAGCCTTGCTTTACCAGAAATTAATTACTGCGCTCGAATGTTAACCATAATTTCAAGTATGTAACATTTTTAACACAAGGACAATTGTTCTGAAGTTGTTCGTGTACTTTTGATGACATCTTTTGTGTAGACGAATGTCTCACATAATTATTTCGATACAACCGTTATACATTGTGTAAAATGTACATTTTCTTCGATAGAACACTATTATTCACATTAAATATAAACAATTAAATTAGGCTTTAATTGTCTTGAACAAAAAAAAATCATTATGTACAGCAGCTTATGTCTTTGCATTCAACGACTCGGATAATTTAACAAAAAAAAAAGGATTATTAATTTTCAAAGAGCTAATTGTTGAAAGCCTTACTTAATTCAGCAGGTCAAACATTATAATCTTGATTTTAAAGGCCAAATAGCTGATTATCAATACCGGTCAAGTCAAACCGGTACGGAACGTTTTAGCATAAAATTCGACCACTGCTGATTGGTAGAACGAATGCCGACAGCAAGAGGTAACAGCGCTATGTGCTATGTACTAGTACGAATTATTGAACTGTTATTCACGTGATTATTTCAAATATTGGCAGTTTCATTACTAATATAATGATTATATGATTTGCTGGCATCATAAGAAATTTTACAAAGAGACGACGTAGCGAATCAACGGCAGACAATAGGTGTGCTAATTCACGCATCAGTAGAGAGCTTAATCTGTTGCCATTCAAAAGATATTTAACAATGAGATATATTTTCATAGAAAAATTTGGCATTATTCATACGAGCAAATATGGAGACATATTGCACCGAATAAAGCAAATCTGCCATGCATGAGGATGTAACAAGGACAAAACAGTAACGGGACGAGTTACATATTAAATCATTATGGTTAACGCATGAAAAAGTTAGAAATAGAAAGAGAACAGAATAATTGAGACTGAATAGAAAACAGGGATTAGTATGTCTTTATTTACTATTAATCTTACGTTATTGTTGGTCTAAAATTAACGGGTCACACCAATTACCGATGTTCGTGTGATAGAGAATTTCCCATATTGATGCCTATATTCGTCATACATGCATGTAATATTTGATACCTAATAATAACCTGCAAACGTTCTCATTTTTTTACATTTAATTTTTTTTTCACAATGGCCTCGCAAGCCGTTTCAGAGAAAGGACGTCGACTGGCAAAACAAAAGTATCCCTCATATCACAGAGATCGCTTACCTACTCTCAAAGAAGTTCTTCAGCGTAAAACAGCACCGCCAGTATGTTTATACAACTTCTACATTTACATGAGAGACAGAGAGCACGAGTCCGAGTATCTAGACTTTTGGCTAGACGTAGCAGAACTCGAACTACTTTGCAAACAATATTTAAAGGAACTTAAAAAGTTGGGATTAGACTCTTCAGTAGAATTTCCAGAATATGCAAAATATAAAGATTCTGATAAAGAGAAAAGATACAGCACTCAATCCAGTTTACATCGACACCTCTCAGCGAGCTCAAGTAGTACTGGCTTTACCGACACAGACTCGCGGTCCGGCTCTCCCATGCCGATTCCGACAACAACCGGAACCGGGACCGGAACAGAAACAGCTCAACATGAAGTAATAGACGTATCAGACCAGACAACAACAACGACGACGACGACAACCCAAAAACCCCGGTATAGAGATTCGGTTCGTTCGACGACGACGACCGGCAACCTTTCCTTCATAGGTCAACGTCCGATAACTCGTGACGACATTACCCAGTTGGCTCAACGTATTTACTTTCTTTACCTCGTTCCCAACGGCGAGCGGGAATTGAATCTGTCACCCGGAGTCCTCAACGAAATACGCATAGCCGTCGAGGAAAAGCATAAGGATGACCCGGCAATATTCAAAGAGGCGAAAAAGGAAGTGTATCGATTTATGAAGCGAGAGATTTATCCAAACTTTTTGAAAGCGAGAGCGTATGGGAATATGACCGTTACACAGACAATGATTAGGTTGGGTTTGGGTTTGTTTTCCTTGTTTGTTGGATTCACTGTCGAGTTGAGTCTGATACTTTTGGATGAGAAGCCGAGGTCAAAGAGGCTTTGGGTGAGTTGGACAAACTGGGAGTGAGGGGAGAGGGGGGGGGAAGGTTGTTGGTTGGTTGGTTGGTTGGTTGGTTGGTTGGTTGGTCGGTTGGTTGGTTGGCATGTTTGGAAGGAAATTGACATGTGAAAAGGACATTCTCGGTTCGTCATCACATAAACGTTTTGTTTATCCTTAAAACTAAACACTTTCCATTCACAATTTCATTTGTAGGGCTTTATTCCTATTTTTATTGGTATTCTAAACCTGTTTGCATTTCAAATGGAATTATGTCCGCTTCTCGTACTTTTCCATATCAGGTAAAGAGCAAGTGTGAGAGAATAACTTGAGTCGGGACAACAACGACACGTTTTCATATTCTGACACATTCTGTTCCAACTTTAATCAGCGAACGGTCTTTTATGCAATACGAAATGGTCCGAGAAAAATACATATATCGTAGCATTCACGTTCCAAAAGCCTTTTGGATACTGCTCATGTCGTTGGCAGCTTCCATAATCGTTGCTGGAATTCTCCTTGCTATCCCTGGACATAGACTGTGAGAAGGAATTCGAAACGCTAAAAGGCTAAAATATAGGAGAGGTTGTGTAAAAAAAAAAAAAGGCGCAAAGTTGCTGATGGGAAACGTTAGTATTAGAGAAATGGGTTAATGAAAGCAGTTGAGAATGCGTTTTTACATTATTTATTTGCGATACTATTCGCTATCGTTATTTTATTTGTCGTTGCTCTTTTTCTCACGTTCAGAACAACGTCCACTCGTTCTCCATGTCAAAGCTCGCTTTTATTTATATAGACCCGAATTAGACTATTTACCAAAACTTTTGTATTTTTTGCATTCTTTTGTAATACGTTTGTATCTCATTATCTTGTGTTGTTATTATTGTATTCATTATAGAAGACTTTAATCCTTAGTTCTGACTAAAAGGAGTTGTAATAAGAGCTTGTTGTTAGATGATTATGTTTATAGAGGTATTTATCAAGTTGTATTTTAGAGTTCTTTTCGACGAGAAATTTTACTGGTATAGTTGGGTGGGAGCGTTCGGTTTGTCAGCCGCATCTTTTAGATTGATTGTGTGAGACGTTCACCAATCAATATACGATTGGCTTTATTAATACCATTCTTTTATATACTTTACTTTTTACATTCCTTCATATTAGCGGATAATCTTTCCCCTTAATCATGTTCGCGTTCCTTATTTACCAATTCAGACCATTTTCGCTCCTTTTATATATCGTTTTACACTTAGTCCCTCGTTCTCACAAATGAGTTTCTTATAGATCTCTACACTTAAACGACCCAACGTTTTATTATCACTCCTTTCCCATTCTATGGTTTACTTTATTCTTTGCTTTGGATGATGTATTTATTTTGTAAATAAATAAAGAACCGGGGGGTTATGAATAGCAATAGTAAAGTCGTCATTGCTCCGCAAACTATACAGTTGGCGAAGAGAAACGTTTGTGAGATAGTAATCAGACAATGTCTTTATACTTGCGTTTTCTCTCGGCAAACTCACCTTGATAAACTCATCGGGACTGGTTGATAATTCCTTTTGAACCAGTTCTCTACGTTGCCAAAGTCTTCTTCGTCGTCGCTCCTCGGCATTCTCGCGGATGGCAAATTCTTCTGCCTGCTGAGGAATTGCCCGGGGTACTGGTGTGGGGTTATTTGTAAAGTCGACAGCAACTGAAGACAAGAGAATATACGATTAGAAGTTGTGATTGTAAATAAAAGAGTTTTTCATACAGCGTTTGGGTAAATCCAAAACACAGGTCATAAATACATACCCATAGTAACAAACCCATCATTGGTAAAATATCGCTCGCCAGTGAACAAATTCTCTAAAAGAATAAACTGCATGAATAAATATTCCTTTACAAAGCCTTGTCTTTCCTTCTCATAGCCTAAACATTCACTCACCAGCCTCAACAGTAACATATACTTCAAGACTAGAATGGAATGTGCAAGAGACAATTGATCTCACTGTGACACAGTCTCCTACGTATGCTGGCCGAAGGAATTGAAGAGAGTCGATGCTGTATTTTTCAAAAAAAAATAAATTAACAAGGGAACAATGCCAATGATTACATGTCTATGACAACCATATTACCTTGCGAGAAGGAGAAACCGCCGCGCATGTCGCGTTGCGCTGATCAGACTACATTGTTCCATCCATTTCATTATTTGACCACCAAATGTAATCTAATCAAGAAAAATTATAACCAAGCCGTTGTAATAACACACAGCAATATATATCCCCTCTGCGAAACTACGCAGACTCTCCGCCGCACTCATAATTCAAATTATGATAATCTACATACCTGCAAGGTGTTAGCATGCTGTGGCAAAACAGTTTCAACAACTTCCGCAAAACTCTCCCTCATAAGCTTCTCTCTGGGTTGTTCAGGCAAATTTCCAGAAAACGTGCTTTTTCTTCTCAAGAACAGCCGAGCCGGGTCTTTTTTCTCCTCGTTTTCTTCATTTTCATTTGTTTCAGAAGAAATTTCTTCGATCATCTCTTCCGGTATTAACGGCGGCACTTCGGCAGAACTCATGCTTTCCACGTTCGTTGTCTTTGACCATTCTCGCATCAATTCCCTCAGTTCCGCTAATTTCGTTTGTTCTCTTCGTCCACGTGCGTCAGTTATTTTAGAAGACGAGATACGAGCTTGTCGTCGTTCTTCTGCTTTTGCATGTCGCTGGACTTCGATGGCGGTAGTGGTATTTATTTTGGGAACGCGGACGGTTTCGGTACGATAACGGAGTAGAATCGCCGAGAGAGATGATGGCGTAGCACTGACTGAAGGCAGTAAAGCTACGAAAGTCAAGTAAGCTGCGTGGATTTTAATAGTTGGGGGTGAGACAGAAAGAGAGATTAGAGACAGAAAAATAAAGATCGTATACATGAAGCATATGGAAGCCATCGACTAGGTACGTAAATTATACTGACCATGACAACAATATTTTCTTTTTCCCGTTAAAGGATTCTCAGTCTCGACGCGTACTCCAACCTAAAATTAGTTTATACATTTGGCATTCAATAATTATCTGCCCGTTTTTAACGGTCTCTCTTTTTTTCTCTCTTCCTATACGATCCTCACAGCGTACTTCATCTTTCGAAAATGCTCACCTTCTCGTCTATTCTAATCACGCCCCCTTAATTATTCCTCCATCACTCACAATTATGCGACATTCGTATAGTACGCTTACCAATGGATCATTACCTCCATAGATGTGTTCCATGCCCTATTCACGCTTGCCTGTATGACGAGAAGATCCCCTACTTTTATCGGATGCATAAAATGTACCGCATCCACACTTCTTGTTACCTGATAAATGAGAAGAAAGAAGAAAAAAAAAGATAAGCGAGTGTATACATAGATATTAAAAACAAAACGCGTAATTGGTTAAAGTACAGTCCAGCAGTTTTTGCCAACAAGAATCTCTGCACTATTATCCCTAGTCTACGCGAATAATAACTCGAACAATTATCAGATATAACTATTACAAAGATCCGATATTTACACACGGATAAACGGCGTGTTTCTTGGCCGAAATTCCAGCCGCAAGGTCTATCCAGCCGATTACTTCACCGCCATATATAAATCCTCGAGTATCGGCGTGTGTTGGAGTCACAATCTCTGTCATTGTCACTCTATGTGTGAATTAACGTGTTTAGTAAATGTCAATTTTCAGAACAATGAATCGGTTACCCTGTCTGTTCAATGCAATTTTTACCTCGAAACCTCGACCGGTCTCGCGTCAGGCACGTTACGTTCTGGCGCTGCGGATGAGGACGGTGCGTCGTCTGTCGATGACGGCAAGAGTCGTATTGACGGGTTGCGTAGCCATGCTATTATCGCTACGATCAGGTTATGTAGATTACGTAGAAAGTCAAATATCATGGAGGCGGAGGAGAGAGTAAAATTTTCAAGTGTCACATGAATGTTATTTTGAGTTGGGTCGTGTTTGTGCTGCCAGTTAATATTAAACCTCGATATGATAACGTCTCAATGATATAATAGCATTAATGACAGTGGATATATCGATTTCTTTGTGAATATGGGCATGACGGCGGCTTTAATACAGCGGATCGTATTCTAACTAGAGGCGAACATATGAACGATGGTGAAAACTGTATAAAGGGTAATTCTCATTGTGCATATCACCTTACGTAATTCTGAATTTGCATAAACAAACAGACTCGATACTTGTTATTGTTTAGCGTGGTAACAAAATACTCGACTTTGAATAGTGCAACATCAAACATTGGAATTCTCACTACATTCTGACATTCCTCCAAAAAATATTGCATGAACTACATGAAACTCTTTCCAGTTCTGGTCGGCAAATCAAAAAGATCAACATGAAAATCAAGCATTCGACATGAAAAGGAGAGTATTCGAATATTCCAAGAAACTGGAAAAATGGTATGATACCTGACATTGGGTCCTATAACTTGGGCAGTCGCTACTTTACCTTCGACAAGTTAATGACCTTGTGGCACAGGGCACAACATGGACTAAATTTTAATTGATTTCAGTCATGGCAGAAAATTGCTCATGCATTCATCCGGACAACTTTTTTGTAAACCCTTGTGCCATTACCCCATGATGAAACTGTGCTATAACGGCCATCTTGTGCGCAATATCCCAAGACGGTATCACATGATATATACAATGCTAACAACAACTATATACAGGCCAAAAAAAGTTAGCAATTACTCCACAACTTTTATATCAATTTTTATTCTAACATTTATTAAAAAGCTAAACAACTCTAGTTTTATTTGCATAAAGTTTAATAACAAATTTTTTCGCCATTATTTTAATTATAAGTGCACACCTGTTCTTCATTGAATTGACAAGATTAATTGAAGATTATTTGGAATTGCATTCCACTCTTCTATTGTAATTCAGCCAAATTACCTGGCATTTGTAATTCTGTGTTTCTCTTTTGACAATAGTCCACAAATTTTGTATGGGGTTTAAATCGGGGCTATTGGAAGGCCAATCGATTACTTTTGGCACGGTGACTTGTATGCTTGGTTGTCTTGTTGCAATCTCCAATTATTTCTAAGCATATTATTGATTTCTTGGAGGTGTTTTTCGACATAGAATTTGCGTTCATTATCTGCGTGAAGCAGAATAAACTCGTTTTTTCCCTAACGGAAAATCCAAAACTTTTTGTCGATTTTTTGGAAATTGTTTAGTTGGACGCTGACCTTTATACTAATGCTTAATTGTATTTCGAAATAAGAAACGCAGTTTCGTCACTGAATAAAGTTTTCTCCCACGAGTCATTAATATGTTTCTTAGCCCACTCAACGCGTTTTGCCTTGTGAGCTTCCGTTAACATAGGCGTACCGATTGGTAACTGATTTTTATAACCCAGTTCATCCAAATGCCTTTTGATTGTAACGTAACTTATATTTACATCATATTTAGAAAGGTTACAGCTAAATTTCTCAACGACTGAGTAGGATTTCTTCGAATAAATTGACCGAGAATCCCTGCTGCGATTGGTGTAAACTTTTTCCTTTTCTATGATGTTGTATGTCAGATCGGAATTTATGTCAATCCCGAAGTAACATATAGAATTATTCAATAAAACATTGTCATATTGCTAATTTCTATTATTCTCATGTGATACATGTCAGTTTGGAAGCGACGTAAAATTCTGATCTGACATATATCACTTCGGAACTCCGATCTGACATATGTTACTTCGGAATTGACATAAATTCTGATCTGACATACAACACAACTAGTCATGTCAGAAAAAATAATGACAACACGACACGATTAGCGGTAAAAGTTGACCCTAATGGGACCCGTGGATATGGCAGTGTGGATTATGGAAACTTTATACAATACCTTTTGACCTTGATTTTGTGTGTCCTTTATTAAGCACAGCTACCTTTTGACCTTGAATGAAGCTAAAATGTCAGAAATGGAGAAGGGTGTCACCCAAAATCTGATACAGATTTACAGTGCAGTTGAGATAATATCTTCATTTTATCTTTAAGCTTGGCATTCCTTAAACGGATAATACTAAAGATTGTCTTCTAATATCCAGGAAATTCAGCGATTAGGCAAACGAAAACTCGATGAAACTGATTTCGAGAATTCTCCTGTAATATTTGGTATTGTAACTACTGGGATCCTTTGGCGTGATTGGTCCATTGGGGTCTCAAAAAGTTGAAATCACTGCGGAATACAATTCTGGGCTTGATAGCGCAACATGCAAGGTGCAAAAGATGTGCTTTCTCATATTGTCCGGGTACTACAAGCGCAAGCTCAGACATCGAGAAACAATGCAAAGCGTTCAAGAAATAATTAGTTAGGATAAAATATCACATATAGCATAGTGGGGAAAACAACTAATGGTAAAACGCATGTAATGTGACCTTATCTATAGTAACAACTATAAATTCATCAACTATATCATCGTTCACAAAAGAAAATCTTCTACTAGAATTAAAAAGGACGTTTTTATCATTGCTCATTTATAATTGTTGCATTTTTTGGATGGCTTGTCATAACAACAAGACAAATGTGGGTTAGCCAGAGTCGCAAAATTGCAGAGGAAAATGCAGAGCTTAAGCTAGAGTCACGAAATTGGAACAGAAGCAGTTGCAAAACGATATTCTTCCAATACTGGTTCATCAAACTCTAACCCCATATCATCAGAAGATGAGGAGGTCGATGAATTTCTGATTAAAGTAGATGACAAACCGCGAATTTCAGCGCGTCAATTAATGGCAGTTAATCGTGAAAAGGTCTAACACGTCGTCATTAATAAACGTGTTATTATATTGGATCACATTGCGCAAACATCGAAATGAACAATGCTTATACCGCACTACGTTATTCGTTCTTTGCGATGCTTACTTGCATCAATATGATGAAGGAAATTTCAAATGTATATTTATTATTATCCATTCACTTAATATAAATTTGGCCAAAAATCGGAAGTTGGCCCAAGATTATTCTTTTTACTTTTATAAGGTGAACGTGTATGTATATTACCACTTTGTGAATATGCGTTCGATAGAAGTGAACGCATGGTAAATCTTGACATGTATCCAGTAATGACAACCCAGAAAAATTAAACACACACTGACATTTAAATCTCATCCACAACTTTGTTTGATATACGACAATGGTCTAGTTCTTTTGATTCTAGCATTATTACAAAATCAGCTATCCTGTCAACCAAACTATTAGTTCCCAGAATGCCATCATGCGTTCCTGTCAAAGACGTATCGAAATCACACACTAGAGTAAACTTTTGAACATGAGAAACAAACTTTTCAGAATGCGCAAGATGAACGAGCTCGTCATTACGAGAATGAATAATCAAATATGGAGGAATGTTTACAGTTGGAGTACAATGTTGGGGAGATGCAGTTTTGTAGATTGTTTCATTCAAGCCGAACGCGCCAGATACAAAATCAATGTACGATGGCCACGTTTCCACTAAATCAACAAGATCATAGATTCCCTCTATACCAACAACTCCCCTGATTTGATCACGAACGGATGGATTGTACCGATCAAGATACTCGGGCATAAATACCAACTGAGACGCAAGAAAGGCACCAGCGCTGTGTCCAACGAGATATATTCGATCTCTGCGATAATTATATTTCTTGCTGTGTTGATAAACCCAAAAGACAGCGGCAGCAACATCCTCTATGTGGTTAGGATGTTTGATCTCGGGCGTTGCTTCAGTACTTAACCGATAGTTTACTAGAGCTACCGCAACGTTGGCTTTCTGGGATAGTTCCTTGCCAAAAGCTAAAAATTCAGACTTATCCCCAGTTCGCCAAGCGCCACCGTGTACAAAGATGAGAATTGGTGGATGGTACCCAGGCGACAAATTCAAAGGAAGTATCAAGTCAAGAGCTTGTTGGGTGTTTGTTGATTTCTCGATATAAAATAAATCTTCTTCGTGCATGTCTTTTTTTTCTATTCTTTTGCCAATTCGTTAACCATTTCTCCCTTTACGTTTTTCAGGTCTTTGGTAACGCAAATAGTTAATTCGGATAGCACGAATATCAGATAATCGACCGTTATTGGACAGTTACATCACTATGGGAACAATCTCCAGTACTTTTAAAAAAGACGTATGGTACGTCACGATTTAGCTCTTAGCATTGTGCGGATGACGTTTATATGGCATACAGGAAAGCACTGGGAAGTAACAAAGGTTTTAGACAAATGAGGTTAAGGGTTACAAACCGAGTAACCAATTCGTTGATAAATTGCAGCTAATTTATTATTGTTGCCTCAAATAAATCATGTCATTTATTGCTATGAGTCATCAAAATTCAATTTAGTTTTGTTATGTTAATTGTTAGATTCGGATAACAAGTCATTTACACATTAATATTTAGCTAGTACATAATTTTTTTGAATATACTATTTAAGTAAAACGTAATATTTTGGTCGACTCGGTATAACAAACTTTTTGGTCACAATTCTAAACACGACATGTAATTAAATTGACTGAGCTACCAATAATCAGTAATTTGCATAGTAATAAGTAATATAATAGCTAGCATCAAATTTCATTTTTACTGTAGAGGAAAGAACAATTCCGTAGCTATACCGCTTGAGAAAATAAAGTTTAGCAAGTCCCTTTAGCCTGCCATTATGGACTAAAGCTTGCAATTTTAAGTCACATGCAGCAAATTACAAGTAGCAATTGGTAGGGGGATTAAATATAAAATGTGAAGTCATTAAACCGAAAATTCGCTTGTGAAGAGTCAATTAATTTATGAAACAAGTGACAGACTTGTTCTAATTACCGGCAATAGTTTTTCAGTTTGGTCGCCAGTCGCCAAAGAGATAAGGAGAACGTCAATTGTAGTGAATTAGGGTTAATGATCAATAAGCCGTAGCACTTAATCAGATATGGGACGTTTTTGGCGTTACGTTACTTTGGCTGCTATTTTTGAAATTTGAATTAATACTTGTCAGCCTACAGAAAAGTTAATAATTTGAGTCACAGATTCCAGTCAATCATAAAGACAGGCAATTGACAAAGTTTATCAAATAAAGACCTCAGATGAACAGTAAATTGTAAATGGTAAATTTGTCGAAGGATGTACCGAGAACGGGGCCCTGAAATTTGGCCAATGAGTAGGACCCGGCCAAATTTATCCGACCCCAGTGCTTGCACCACCCGTTGTTTGCACGTTTCACAACGTTTGCTTTCACAAACAATAGTATGCAAAACTGTTATTCTGTTTATCCGATCACTAAAATAGACTTTGAGTGCCTGACGAGTGACCATTCTGCAGTCGTTAATTGGATGTTGCAGGCGACGTATGACAATCTAGGTGTTCGTTGATGCTTTATACAACCAGTCAGACAACATGAGTTTTATAACAACGGGAATTAATTTCGTTAATGACATATTAATATACGAAAAACTCTCTCTCTTTTTTTTCTCTATCTAGGTGTTTGTTGATGCTTTATACAACCAGTCAGGCAACATGAGTTTTATAACAACGGGAATTAATTTCGTTAATGCCATATTAATATACGAAAAACTCTCTCTTTTTTTTTTCTAAAATACTTGCTGCATATGAATGTGCATAACTGGTCAAATGCCTGCACGAAAATGTTACACATACTGAAGAGAGATTTATTCGCTTGTTACATGTTTAACGCCTCATGTTTAAGAAAAATAAGAGATATTAAATTTCTCTTGGCATCAAGCGAAATAATATAAAGTCACTGAGATTATATATGTGTGATGTAGATATGAGATAATAAATGCATGATGAGCATATCCGAATGTTTTAGGGATAGGGTGTCCATTCTACTGTATAGAATAACAGAGCATTAATTAGAACAACAGTTTATAATGTTAGAACACATTGTCATTAAACATTCAATTTAATAAAGTTAATTAGCAACACGCAGTGAGCAAGGGTAGGTTATTGGTGATGTGTAATTGAGATTTAATTAGAAAACGGCTCACAAGTTGGCATACAGCCCTAATGTTTTCTTCTAAAAAGGGGATTGCTGGTAAGGTACCCGTCAACACAATATTTTATGCGAATAAGACGTTTGCTTAAGTGTGACGATTGTGTGGTTTGTATACTTCGTCGTCATTTTGCTAAAACGCAGCGATAGTAAACTTGTGTCTGGTAGACGCTTGGCAACAACTGTCCTCATGACATTGTGCTTTGAACAAGCGAGACTTTACACACGATACACAACACAAACATTGGCGTTGAGCTAAAAATCATATCTAATGTATGCAGATTAATTCGATTAATTTAACAGTGTGTGACATAATTAAAGTACTGACGTCACATGCCATTGGACTAGATAATAAACAGCTAATTTATTTTGGATAATAGAAATTCGAATATTCGAAAGATTTTAATAAATAATTGCGATAAAAGTAGGAATGTGACATGAACAGACAATAAAGATTACAAAACAGTATTACCAAACGTCAGCATAGAAAAATACCTACTCGCTAACAGCAGGATTTAAACATGCGAAATAATAGTATAAAATAGTGTATACCAAGTCATAATCAAACGTGAGTTGTCGGGTTAAAAAAAATTAAGCTGCGAACTTTACATTAAACTATTATGTGCATAAACTTATTAAATTTGTCTGATCTATAATAGTTAAGGCAATTTTAGATTCACACCAATGCAGAAATTTGCGTTTATTAGTCAAACCAACAACAAGTTGGCGTTCCATGACGATCAAGTGTATTTGGTACACTATATAAAAATTGGTTATTAAGATTTAATTAAGCCTCGCCATCTTATTAATAAAGTTATTGACATGTTTTCCCAAAATAAAAAGTTTTTTTTTTTTAATTCGACTTATTTGGTTCCTGCATAATTCTAGCAGTTAATTGTTCAAAAATAAAAAAAGTTTATCTTTAGTATTAAACATTAACAGATCTGTATATATATATCGCTTAGTTATTAACCCATGTATAGTTTGGTGCAAAAAGGAAAAAGGAGTTGTTAATGTCTTTATGTTAAAAATCAGACATGCCACGAAATTTATAAATGACATTTGATGGCCGATAAAAATAAGCCTTCCAGTTGCCACACACAATTTCATGCAACTTATCTGATTCGGGTAAAGTCCCGTCTAATACGTTTTTCCTCAGTATCTGACAAATCTAAGAAATATCAGCAGCCATGCATAGTTAAACTATAGTTATACATAGTCGACATGACGACCTGAAAAATGCAACATTTTGCGAAATATAAGATAATATCAACATAAAACATGGTTATATAGACACTCTGCTGTGAGAAGCTTTTCATATAGACACTCTACACTGTCAGTTTATCTGGGCTGATCTTATGTAGGCATTGAGATATCGATCGATCAAAGTGCCATGAGACTCCTGCAGGCTCATGCAGAAGCCATACATAAATCAGAGACACGTTAGACTTACCATACATGGCCAGTACAACGTAAGATTGACTTGGGCAAAGTTACAAGCATTCTAATAATAAACAAATATCAGTGTCACAAGATTATGCCAAGAACTAGTCAGTAACGTTACATCTACTGTAAACACAGTCTCAGATTCAAATTTTACAAAGGGGGATGGTGGGAATTTTTACTTATTTGATATAATTTCTCAGGACAATGACGATTATTGTTTTTGCGTTTATATTTGGCGAGCTAAATATAATCTTCGTGTCACGTTTCTAGTAACACATTGTGCACTATTTCTCGGAAAGGAATCTATCATCCGTAAAATTTAGGAGAGAGCGCAATGTTGTGCTCAAACAACAAGTCCTTTGAATGGATGTTCGAGTTCATTTGAAAAGACGGACAGCCCGTAATTCGATAGAATGACGCCAAAAAAGAAGGCTTTTAAATTCAACGTTCAATTTCAACTTCAATGGGTCAATGCACAAATCTAGTTTCAATGGTTTTGCCTGTTTTGATGCATTCGGAAGAGTGGAAAAATTGTCAATGAACACCTCCCTAATTAGATAATAATAGAACGGGGTAACAACAAAGGTGTAAACAAATCGGTCATATAAAACAAGCATGAAAAATTGCAAGCACGTTATCTTATCCATTTACTTGTAAGTAAACAATTATTAATGCCGATACAGATATTCTATTTATACAAGTATTTACAGCATTCTTTATTTGGAAATTACGTGCTCGGGGTATCCGGCAATGCAGGTTAATGCAAGCTTTGACTCAGTAAGTAAACTATAAATAATACATTTTTACTTGGTAATACGTTAAACAGTATAATGTAAATTTTCGCCATTGAAATAAATACCTCACTCCCCCTCACACTCCCCCCGATTAAGGTTGTTCGCCTTTCTCATATTCCCGGGATGTCGCTAATGTTGGTTCTATATTCGCTGTTCATTCTGTCTACGACATTACTATGCTCACAAGCCGCATACACATGCGATCCGACGACTTGTGTTTCTCCTAACTGCTTCTGTGCCTCAACCACTCCTCCGGGGAATATACCCATTGACCAAGTACCGCAGTTTTTCGTTCTCAGTTTCGATGATGCTATGCAACCGGCAATGCAACCAAGTAAGTAAAAACAAGATAGATGACGAGAGAAAGAGAGATGAGCAAAGCTTTTTCTGTTGTTTGACAGCGATACGTTTATCCAAGACACTCATCCCAATTCTGCACATTTAGTCTTCGACACTCTAATGAAGGGAAAGAAGAATCCTAATGGGTAAAGATATTTCCAGTCTGTGTTTTTTTTTTCCAATTGCATTCCAAAATCTCTTTAGGTTTACAAGTTTTTTCCTTCTACTTTAGCTGCCCGATTACTGCGACGTATTTCCTCCAAACTTATTATACTGATTTTGGACTCGTTACCAATTGGTATGCCGCTGAAAATGAGGTAAGGGTGGGGTGAGGGGGACAGCAGGCTTCTAAACAAAAGGTTACGCCAATTATCACTATTTCTAATCCTTGTTTCACAAATAAAGGTTGCCGATCATACAATGACGCACCCAAATTTGCCAGGAGAACGTAAGAATCAAATTATCAAAATATTTTTTAATGATGACGATTAGCTTGTGTGTTTTTATATTCTTGTTAAAATGAACCCCCCACGCTTCTGTACCAGTTATGTGTTGTATTAGATTTGCACTTACTGACATTTCCTCTGATTATATATAGCCGAAATAACCGGTAACATACTCGCAGTCAATGCCCTTGCCGGCATTCCGAAAAGTAAGATTACCGGTTTCCGATTTCCATTTCGAAATTACACGGCACCATTGTTCCAGTTACTATCAAAACTCGGATTCGCTTACGACTCGACTGTGAGTGCTGGTCCGACCGACATGTATTGGCCGTATACGCTGGATAACGGCATTGCTAATGAGTGTTGGTCGGGCATTTGTGATGCCGGTTTGAAGTTGCCAGGAATGTTTGAATTCCCAATGTATGCTATTCCCGGTGAGTGCATTATATTTAATCCAGTAATCTGTGAATATATGTGGCTATACTAAATTATTCGTATGTCGATTACATAGGCGGTGACGGTGTAATGTATTTGATGGATCCGTTGTTAACTGTTCCACTGGATCAAGGCAAACAATGGCTTATTAATAGCTTTAACCAACATTACAAGAACGGTAAAGCGCCATTTGGTAAGTGGCACGCCTTTATTTCACGCACTTGTGCATATATCAATATCGTATGCTAAAGTTATGTTATACCATCGTTCGTTTTTTCATCTCCTTTAATTCTCTCTCTCTCTCTCTCTCTCTTTTTTTTTTTAATTAGGCCTTTACCTTCACGGCGCTCAATATTTACCTCAACCAGGCCGTCCAGATCCCGGCCCGATAATCGCAGCCTATAATAGCGTTATACAATACGCTCTTTCCCAACCGAACGTTTATGCCGTTACTTATTCTCAAGTGCTCGCTTGGATGAAGAATCCTGTCCCGGTTTCCCAACTTGCTGGACATCCAGCATTCAAATGCACTATTCCAAAACTTGGCAAAGAAATATGTAACGGCCTTGATGACAATGGTGACGGTAATATTGACGAAGGATTGAAACAACAATGCAATACACCCACATCTACCTTCACGACATGCTACAACTGTCCCGTCGACACGCCTACACCAGGCAACCCCCTTCCAAAGAGTGTAAATCAAAACAGATTTGTAGTAAGCAGTACATGCGATACTGTATACTGGGATCCTGTTGCTGGACAATGTTTATGTCAGGATAAATCATGCGCGTTCACGGATTTGTCCACGATAGGGGACAGCAGTGGGAATAATAGTACCAGTGGTGGGAGCGGTAATAATAGTACTAGTACTAGTGGTGGTGGAAGTAATAGTACAAACACTTCGAGTAATGATGCAGAGAGAATGGGGATCATATCTCGGATAACAATTAGTGGGATTATAGGAACTACCATGTTATTGGTTATTGGCGTTTTGGTATAGTGTGAGACTGTGTTAGACATGAACATTAGAAGAAATGAATGTATAAAAAGCGGGTTGCTGATGCTGATGCTGACGCTGATGCTAATGCTAAGATGGGAAATTTTGGCTTTGGATAGAACGTGATGAAAGTTTCTTGGGCAATAGATTAATTATTGAGATTGTGTTGATCACAACCTGGTTGGTTTTTGTAGAATACCAGAAAAAAATACAAGTCTTAATGTAATGTTGAATAAAATTTTTACGACAGCTATAGCAATTTAATGTATCAAATTTACTTTTGTTAATACTCGAAGAACAAGAACATTATTAGATGGTTACTGAAGGGAAACTTTTCCCCTTATTTTGTTTCGTATATCAGAAAAACTAACTTGCTTAATATTAAAGCCTTCAACCGAAAACCTTACTAATTCTCAATTAGATCAACCTACGAAGCACATCTGAACCCTGGATTGTGCACATGTAAATAAATAATCAAACCCTCTCGACAGCCCCTCCCGTACTAATACTGACCCTCTGATTCATTTTGGACGATAACGCAAACTCTACACTTTAGAACTATTACTTATTACTGGATCTTGTGTTGCGACTGTTATTTCAATTTTGATCTCGACAGCCCCTCCCGTACTAATACTGACCCTCTGATTCATTTTGGATGATAACGCAAACTCTACACTTTAGAACTATTACTTATTACTGGATCTTGTGTTGCGACTGTTATTTCAATTTTGATCTCGAGTTGCAAATCTGTATGCCTGCCATCAGACGCTAATAAACGTCACAAGTGACTTTTTTGTCCGAGTAATGACCAAATGAACCCCTCTCGCCAATTTGTCAATTTTAATTGGCTCTTTTCCGTCGACATTAAATCTGATTTTATTGCAGCCACTTTATGGTGTGCATACATCGGAACGCACAAATCCGCACAAGTAGATGCTTGACGAATTGTGAGAGTGATAGATACTTTTTTCTTTGTCAACTATCTAGTTTCAGGTTCTAGGAAATAATCTTTCTTTTTTACAGGGTCGGCTATAAAATTTCCATATCTGCTTGAAAAGAAAATACTTTTTGGGATCTATATCGAGTTGTATGACAGGAATTTTCTCTCATTAAACATAAAAGCCGAACAATTGAAACCCGAAAATTGCATATTCAAGTTACACATGGTTGAGATTAGGAAAGATTCATTTACTGGTAGTAACCTATTGCAAGTAATCTCAGCGATCACATGTGTGCTGCAAACTTGGGTAAATGTCATATCGATATAAAATATCATATCATCTATCATAAATATATGAATTGTTTTTCACATCAGGCATCTAATTTCTGCTTCATGCTTGTCAGTCGATTGTTTTTGGTCTTGAACATAAAAGGTAAATATTCGGGTTTGATATTAATATTACGTGTTTCAGATAAAAGCCAATTCATGCACTCGTAGAGATTGATTAATTTACTAAAGGCAATTATGGGAGAAAAGCAGTTCAGCAACTTGATTCGATGGATGTGCTCTTCAACTCGATGCTGATGTGTAGGATTACCAACTGTTACTTGTTCGCACAATTTTAAATGATTGGTTCACTAGATTGGGTTCTTGGCAACGAGGCAGTTAAACCATAAGAGCGAAAATTGAAGGCCAGTAGAATGGAAAATGTGTTATAGAAATTAACTTATTGAACAAACGACTATGATTATTGACGTGTTTTCGACCGACAAATCGGTCTGTCGACCAAATTAAATAACGTTAGTCAGGTTTAATAAGAACCAGCTTCTTTATTACACAACTAACCCATTCCGTTGTGCGTTTGCTTTTTGCTTTGGATGCACATAAAGTAAGTAATAATTAATTATCCATATACGGCATATCTTTGGTAGTATCTGACTGCCAATTTGGGACATCAATTTCAAAATAAAACGTATGACAAATTTTGACGACAATAAGTTATTGCACATTCAACACCAGTTTTTCTTCTTCGTCCTTTTTCCCTCTCTCGATCTTTTTATTCTTCATTTTACACCTCGTCTATATCGACGAAGGTCCCAACTCTCCTTTTTTTCATTTGGGTGTTTGTATCCTACTACTACCTATCCTTTATCCCTCTCATTTTAATTCATTCTCTGTACAGCCTGGCTTGTCCGAGGTTATAGAATAGAGAATATCGACTTTCCGCCTCACATTTTCCCCATAGACTGTAGATATTAGCCTAATTGGCTCGTGTAGAAAAGTCCTCGTGAGACTTCTAGCAGAGAGATAACATCGACAATCTGACCATTTACTTTGAACTTTCATAGCGATGGCCCCAGCAACAGGACCCGCAGTTCCCGATCCCAACGCAGCCAAACCTCCCGTTCCGGCTCCCACTACCTCTCCTTCCCCCGCTCCGGCTCCTGCTCCTGCTCCTTCCCCCGCTCCGGCTCCTGCTCCTTCTCCTTCTCCTGCTCCTGCTCCTTCTCCTTCTCCTGCTCCTGCTCCTGCTCCTGACCCTAAACCCAATCCAGGAGGCAACGATAATAAACCTAATCCTCCTGCTAATAACGGAAATGGAAATGGGAATGGGAATGGGAATGGCAATGGCAATGGCAATGGCAATGGCAATGGCAATGGAAATGGAAATAATCCGAATAACGCAAATAATCCGAATACTGCAAATAATCCGAACACCGCAGGCGCAAATACTAACGCTAACACGCCTACAGCAACATTACCCCCAAACGCTACGCCAGCTCCCAATCAATCTAGCGTTAGTGTCTTTGTAACAGCCGTCGGGTCATCATCAATTCACAGTTCTTCAACTATAACTTCTTCTTCAGCTACGCCTACCACGACTGACATTAGTAATGTCCAAACGAGCTCTAACGGCCCATCAGCCGGAGCAATGATCGGTGGTATGTTTGCGTTGACGGCGATTATCGTTGGCATAATCATGTGTGTAGTGCGCAAGAAAAAGCGAGCTTCCAATAACTTCTTCTCCAACAACCGACAGTCACATCAGCTCACCGATACTGACTTTAACGATACTCTTGCTATCGGACAACCTCACTATTATGACGAAAAGGCTAGCAGCTACTCGAGGGGTTCGATTATTTCTAGGCCGGATTCAACGTACCTCGAGCGTACTGTTGATTATAATAATGGAAACAGAATGAGCTTTGCTCCGGTTGCTGGACAGAGACACAGTTTCTTCACAGCCAATGGAACTGCCTATGCTCCGCCAGTGTCTTTGATGCCAGTTAATGGGATGGTGAGTCCTTCGCCTCGCACCCCGCCTCCGCCTCGCACCCCAACTTACGGCGCTCCATCAGATTATGGTTATTATCCTAATGCAAATGGAAATGGCGCTGTCTATTAAAAGATGATGTATATTTCATTCCCACAACACAAACACAAACCCAAACCCAAATTCACACACATAATTTCCAATTTCCATTAATTCTTTTTGTAACTTACAATATTTCGACTGAGTCGAATGGCCCTCCCCGTTTAATATTTGTTATTTTATAAAATGGAGGATAGAAAGAAATATATATATCATATTTATGTTTAGCTTATATCATCGGGAATGTATCATCGGGAAAAATCTGAATTTTGTAATAGCAAACTTGTGAACTCTGTCTTTCTTGTAAATTATAATATTCTACAAAACTATCATCCTGTTATGACCTTACGGGTTAGTGTTTTCTTTCACCCCTAAACTCACAAGATTAGCAAATCTTCTAATTCATCGTTTGTAGAAATAAATGTAATGTATTTGTTTAAATATCTTGGTAGCTTGCTGAGAAATAGATATGATATCCCGAAAGGAAATGGCAGTGTTACACGCGTCTGCTAACTTGCTGTCTGGCGAAAAAGAAATGATAAATTTTATGATTAATTGTTCACGTTGCTCTTATGTGACCTTACAATGTCTGTTTAGATAACAAGATGCTGAATGCTGACCTTGCATTTACCGCACGTTACGCAGGATGTATTTACTGGTGACTGTCTGCACATAATAAACTGCAATAGTAACAGCCATGTCCAATTAAAGACGTGACAAAAAGCCTTAGTCTGTCGACACAGAGATTGCTTGCGTGACATAAATATGAAACAAGGAAAATTTGATAATTACGTGACATCACACTATGATTTCAGTGGATTAAAGGGGTGATTATTGAAAATTGTCCGATCGAAGGAATCCGTAACATTATATACTCACTACCCTCAGAAAAGCCTATGGTCAAGAATTTTTAAAACAAGTCTCCCGGTTCCGACGATAATGAATACGCGTTCATATTTATGCTAAACAATTTGATTGCATCCGACATGAGGAAAATCGCGAATTTGAACATGAACAAATTATTCAAATTAAAATGGCTGGAAAATTCATAAAATATATTCTAAACGTTACAATTGCCCAGACATGCTAATTCCAATCATGAATCAAATGTTAAGAAAACTGGAAGACCACTTTCCATGAGTACCGGTTATGCCAAATCTATAGACATAAGATTGAAGCATGCATTGGGAACCGAGAACAGCCCACAGAGTATTAAATGTTGTGTTTACATTGAAAATATCAAACGAATAAAATGTCTTTTTTTTTTCTGACAGTGTGTATTAATACAGTGGGTAGACAAAAGTCTCCAGACAGTTAGTGGTCATCCTGACATACTCTTTATAGGATGCGCGCAAATTGTTTTAATCTATTCAAACAGTTATTAGTCTCGGAAGACAAGTAACATTTAATGTTGCTGGATTACATCACTTAACGTAAACTGCAGGGTCTGAAAAGTTTAACTCTAGACAGCCTTCTTTAATGTAACTCTTGTTGGTTTGGACGATTTGTAAAACGGTGCGCGTCAGCTCATTTATTATGAAAGAATTATGAATGCAAATGTTTGTAGTTTTTTGTCCATTTTGGAGCAGTTATCGTCTATAATACGACAGCAAAAAACACGGAAATATCAGTAGCGATGAGTTTTAGACTTTGATTGTTTATGTCATTGTTTATGGCGTGCTAATTTTATCATGAATTTTCTTCTAGAATATGAAATCACTCTTCGACTTTAACGCGGAATTGTAAATGCAACAGTCCAGCAGTCTCCCTTGATAAAAAGTACGGGTTTTATTGACGTAATCTGCTGTGAATAAACATATATGGTACGCTAATGATTTGATAAATACGTATTTTCACTATAATTTCAGCAAGCTCTCTTTCTTACAGTATCATATAGCATGTAGCCTATATATGAATGTATTAAAATATATGGCGTATACATGAAAAACACCGACAATAGTAGAAAACTGACGTAAAAAAAAACCAAAATATTGGATAAGTTTGGTGGCTTGGAGAAACATACTGTAATAAGGAATTAGAAACAACAGAAATTGAGAGACTTTGATTGAAATTAAGAAAGTAATTGTTCTTTTTTTGAATGCTTGTAATAGTATGCTATTCTTTGGATTAGTCTTATGTGTAAAGTTTTAGCGCCACCCCAACAAATAGTTTTTTCTGTTTGCCATCATAATTGTATATATGCGTAAGCTGTACATACTGATACGGTTAATAATGAAAGCGGTGTCCACAAATTGAGCTTTCTTTTTAGCTATTAATAGGTAATCGAAACTTTTTATTATATAATAAGAAGTTTGATATTTGGTTTGGCCACTCATTATGGGTAATGCATGCCTCGACATATGTCGTCTATATTTACAAACTTATAACTTTTAGCGCGTTTTACGCAACAAACAAACAAGTTTATCTTATATCAGCATAGCAATCGTGGAAACTGATATACTTTATCAGGCAAACAATGGTTAATAGCAATCAGTAGAATGGACGTGAAACACATCTATGGCCGTATACTCTTGTGCCTAACAGTTTAGCGCGTGCCCAGATACTAAAATTATCAATATTTCGTCAATGTTCCGTAACCAAGGGCTCATTTGCTATGTTGCTTGGCATACGGGTAGGCACTGATTTGTAATGTAGAAAGTCTCAAGCATCGGCTTGTAAAATTTTTATTGACAGCTAATGACTACAAACGCAAAAATCAATACGTTGCAAAAATGTGGTTTGAACTGTCCAGATTGCGATCTGTTTATAAGTCAACATGGTTATTACATAAATATATATTAATGCAATCATCCTATTCGTATAAATTGGTTTCTCGTTCCGGTTTATAAAAACTTGGTGTTGCAATAATAAAAGCAGTCGTTAAGGTTGTTAGAAAATCCATGTCACCAAAAAGTTCCACTCGCCACATGTTCCCATATAATCACATGACTAATCACACGCCACAACAATCCGAGTTTTGCCGCTCCCCCCACATATTGTCGCGACTGAGTACAAAATTCTGAAACAACCAATCAACCTGCTCAGTTCGTTTTTAAGTCATCAACATCTGCTATTCCCGTTGACAGATTTTTCTCGCAGCTCTTTTACCTACTGTCCTTTTCACGAAAAAGCATGGCCAAAGGCAAAAAGCAATCTGCCAAAGGTCCAGCCGAATCTCAAGTCGCAAACATGAATAAGTAAGTTTTGTAGAGCAGGCGGCTCAAACGTCGAAGCTAGTTCGAGAAGCCCCAAAAACACCGATTTACAGTATTAATATAGATACTTAGCTACGTAAATGGCGTTTGATGGCTGTGCCTACCCTTCGCACAGTCGTCTTACGCGCACCATCAAACTTCTGCTGTTGCGATCGTCTGCCTGCAAAGTAATTTCGGGCTTTTAGATGAAAGTCTCACCACTTATTAGGGATCAGTCTGTTGTTATGGCGCAGCAAGAACATCCTTGATTCAACCTGATGAATTGTTATACAGTCTGTTATATGTATCCTGATCAACAGTCGGACTTTTACAAACTATGGTCTTTATTTTAATAAATAGGACTACTGCTGCCCGTTCAGATTGGCGTAAAGCTAATATGACTCGCGAACAACAGAAACACTGCGCTACCATAATTAAAGCAATGAAACAATACAGGAACGCCGGTCCATTCCTTGATCCAGTTGATCCAGTTAAACTTGGAATCCCAGATTATCTAAAAATTATTCAACATCCAATGGATATCGGCACATTGGAAAGAAAACTGGATAACTGTGAATACGAGAGCGTATCGGCGTTTGCTGATGATGCTCGGCTGATATTCAATAATTGTTACATTTATAATGGCAAAGATGCGGTAATCTCAAAAGCTGCACAAGAATTAGAAGAGATATTTGAACGAATGATGGCTAAAATGCCTGGACAGGTAATACTGATACCGATATATACCTTATAATCTCGCACCTTGTTGCTGATACTGTCTTTCATTATACAGCCGGTTGCTAAACCAGCAGAACCATCTACTTCTAAACCACCCAAACCCACTGAAATTTCAATTTCCAAAGTATCTGAGCCAAAACGTCCTAAAAGAGAGATTCGACCCCCTCCACCTAAAGATTATCCCGAGACGCCCTCTGTTCGTAAGGGAAGCGTATCAAAAAAGAGAGATGCAGAGATGAAATTTCTTCGCGCAATTATTAGAGAGTTTAAGAAAAAACAACATGCTCCATATGCTTATCCGTTTTACGAACCAGTTGATGCCATGAAATTGGGTGTGCCCGATTATTACGACGTGATTAAAAATCCCATGGACATTTCTACACTTAATAACAAACTAGAGAATGGTCAATATGAGAGCGCCGATGAATTTGAGAAAGATGTTCGTTTGATGTTTCGTAATTGTTATGCATATAATCCACCAGGTTCAGATGTTTATAATATGGGCAAACAGCTCGAAGCAGTTTTTGATAGGAAATGGAAAGAGAAGCCTGAGCCAATGCCAAGGGATCCGTCACCCGAAACACGTGATGATACCAGTTCATCTGATGATGGTACGTGTCGTCTATATTATTTAAAAAGAAAAAAAAAATTTTTTTGCGTTGGATCCAACCGATTATTACTATTTGCTCTGTAGAAGATGAACAAGCTCAGAGTCTTAAAGCTTTACAAAAGAGCTTAGTTGCATTGCAAAATCAAATCGCATCTATTCGACGAAAAGAAGGCAAATCAAAAAATCGAAAGCAAACTAAATCACCAAAAGGTCCCACAAGAAAGAACAGCATGAAGGGATCAAAGGACTCGACGTCAAATAAGAAAGCTATGGCAAAACGGGCACGCGGTAAGGCTGACGAAGAAGATTTTGAGCCATTAACTGTTGAGCAGAAAAATGAACTTGGGGAAAGGATCAATCGTCTTTCTGAAGACAAAACGAATGAACTTATTGCACTCATTTCTGCAAGTGGGGCTCATCTCGAAGTATGTATTTGCATCGACTTGAATGTAATCTTACTAACGAGAGATGGGAGTTTCTGCAAGTGAATCTCATACTCGATGCTGACAACCTTGTTCTACTATAAAGGCTGAGGATGGTAGTTATGAACTCGAGATAGAATCTGTGGATGATAGGACGGCCCGTCGGATCTATGACTTCGTTGTTGCTCATACTCCCAAACCTCGGCAGCCGCCCGCAAAGAAGCCGCGTACACATTATTCAGAAGAAGAGCAACAGCGCAAGATAACGGCGCTTGAGCAACAATTACAAAAATTCGACGGGAAGATGAATGGATCATCAGGCAAGTATCCAATATTATTTCTCTATTGCTTTCAATGAAGTTTTATTTATCTCTGAGAATGATCGCTAATAACTTGATGAACAATATTCTTTAAATAGGATCGCCCACGGGCATTTATCACCCAATGGAGGAGGATTCGAGTGCTAGTGATAGCACCGATACTTCGGGTTCGGAGTCGGATGATTCAGGTAGTTCTACCCCATAGATTACTATTGATTAAGTTCACGAAACTATCCCATGACTAGCCGTGCGTCCATACCCCTATGAAGTGTCTTTATTATTTCAAATTTAAGTAGAAGACGCACGGTTTCTTCCATTCGTAAGCACGTCTCTTAACAGACTGTTTACCTTTTTTTCAAAGTAGTGTTGCAATAACAAACACTCCTTTACGGCTTGCTGGGGAGATTAATGACTCGTAGATATTTCATTTCATGTTCCGATGTTGAATCGGACGGGCCAACTTCATGCTATGACTTCCGTGCTTTGCATACTTATCTACCTTTATGTTAAGCGTTGGCCCAGTTCACAAGAGGACAACAATAAAATCACTTCTGAGTGTGCGCTTAAACGATAAAGTCCCGTGAATCCATATCTCATTTTTTTTTCCACTTCTTTTCCCTCAATGGATTTTTATTACAAATTCGATAGTAATATACACGGGCTTAGGCAGAAAAAGAAAGCCGTCTCGAAAATCAGCAGAGCAAACCTCACAAATCAAGTCCACTTACAAGGGAAAAGTTGCAGCCCGCCGACTATCCAAAACCGGAAAAGAAAAAACCCAAGACAGCAGCGAAACCGCTACTGTCTCTCGTAAGACCGAAAAGTCAGTAACACCTAAAGAACCCGAAAAGCCAGAATCGACGGAGGAGAAAGTGGAACCCAAATCAGAAACTCCAGATTATGTCAGAGAAGTACGTACGATGCAATCGTCCTTGCGCGCTTATTTGTAACCGCAATTAGCATTAATTCTTATTCTCATTCTCCTTCCCGTTCTATTTTTCTTTCTGTAGCTTCGTAACAATGAGAATTTCAAGTTATCGACGGCAGCAGCTCGACGTGTCATGCTCGAGTCTTTTACTCAGGGTCTCGAAGAGATGGATGTGAGTATTTCCGGTGACTGTTACAACTATTGCTTGGTCGTGCTCAATAAATACTCGAGACAATAGATTAATTTTTATCCGTTGTAGAAAAAACAAGAACGTGACATTGAGCGTATGTTAGAGATTAACAGGAAAAACGAAGAAATGATTAATAAAAGAGAACAAGAAGCTCGTTTAAAAGCAGAACGTGAAGCGGCTGAGCGAGCGCTTATGGAAAAGGAAAAAGGCGAAGAAAAGTCGCGCCAGGAAAAGGAAAACGCCCTCTGGCTTCAGTTAATAGAAGAGGAGAAGGCCAAAGACCGACTTCGTCGAATGGATCTGGTAAACATTCATCTTGTTATGTGATGCGCGTTTAATTAATGACTTTCTGTACGTGTAACATTAATGATTAATGTGATCTGTATTTCACAGAACATCCGTCGGGATTGGGAGGGTGAGAGCGTTCGGGCTGTCAATTACAGTCTGCATCATTTATGGAGCGTTCGAGCCTCGGAAAAAATCGTAAAGAGAAAACTTGGATATCTGCTGGGTTTTATGCGAATGGATGTCGCTGATGAAACTCGTCGCGGTCCCAAAAGGGTTGCAGATCCTGCGGTTAATGTAGCGACTCGTCGGTTAATACCAGTGCGATCTTGCTTAGGTACCACTGACCACCAGCAAGATTACGGGGCAACCAAGCTGGAAGATCTTATGCAACCTCTCGATAAACAGCGAGAATCATTTGCTCTAACAACACGTCCTTCCCAAGTGGCTCGCCGTCGGTTTCGAGTACCAGTGTCGCCAACAATGATTAAATCTGCAGAGGGACGATTCGAGACGATTGTGGAGTGGAGGCGGTCTCGGGAGTCATAAGAACAATAAAATAAAACTACCTTGTTTCACAAGGGAAAAAAAATAAATAGAAAAAAAAAAAGCAAAAGTAATTCTGTATTTTAGCAAGAGCTGTAAATATAATACATGTGTGTATATATTGCATTTTTAATTGTACAAAAAAAAATAAAAATAAACGGATGTGATTTCCAAAAATTCGATGTACTTGTAAGTTGATAGACAGTTTTGGAACTTCGTGGCGAAGTTTACCAAGGAGCATTATGAATTAGCAACTAATTCCAAATCGACAATCTTCTGCGCGTCTCGCGGTTCGAGTCACAGACAATTAGGAAAAATATTTTTGATAGTCATATTGATTTATGTAAGCTTATTATTATAATTTCTGTTTGACTAAAACTCGTTGAAATATGGAATAATGTTACGCAAATTTGGGAACTTCATGCCAAATTGATTTGATATTAAAGTCGAGAACGTTGCCGTTTCCATATTAATATGTATCACATAACAATTTTCGCTCATGAAAACTAGACAATATCAACTCCTAAGGGTACTATACGAAATATTCAGCTATTTTCTTCTTCCTCCTCCTCCTCTTCCTCATCATTCGTATCAAATATGAGCATGCGTCGCCTGTTTTCGCTTAATATTATCACAAGACCTCTCAGTCCATTGGTTACTAGATGAGAAGGCTTGAACTGTGTTATTAAGCAATAGTTGTGGAGTAAAAGGGAATGTCGTTGGGATGATGCCGTCTAACGGAAGGAAGGTGGATTAAGGGCATATTGATTAAGTAAACTTATAAATACAAATTTCGCGTTTATAAGCGTTATGTATACTTACTAGTATATTGGTAATGACAGAAGAGATTGTGTGGTTTGCAAAGACTAATTCTTGATACTTCGTTTCCCCAAAATAATGTAATTCCATGCCTGAAGGATGATAGTCGGTATATTAGTAATCCAACTCGTTCCCAGCGAATAAAAAGCATCATACATTCCTCAAAACTAACCTTTTTCGTCGATTCCACAGACAAGTAAGTCTAACCGTTCATCATCGAAGAACCTCAGCCCTTTCACTTGTAAAAATTCGGTTTCGTTGACGGGATTCTTCAGATTGACGGCAGAGATTTCGCACGGCGTTGGATTATCCGACGAAGCAAGACATGTTCGCCATATAAAGCCTATGAAGGTAATCATATAAGCCCAGTAACATATTAATCATGCAAGAAAGTTCATCATTCTTACATTTAGGTTCACTCGCTGACGCGTTGCGGGAATAAAACGCTACATACAGATGACTCATAGTTGTCTGCAAATAGAAACGTCGTATGTAAAAATCGTTACTGGAATTTCAACAAACACTGTCTACTCACTTCGTTAATTATTCTCATATCTGTAAGTCTCGTTTTCTCATCTTCGTTGCTCTCGTCGAAATCTCCCATTTCTGCAAAGAAATCCCAGTACTCCCTAAGAGATACTGATGCTGCAACATAATGCGCTGTAGAAGAAGATACATCATCACATCGCTTGGCCAGTTCTTCGATAAAACATTGGAGGGCCAGTGACTCGTTATCGCATTCCTGAGTGTGTATAAAGTCATAAGGATATGCCGCGCGACTGGGTAATGAGGTCGAAGACTGTTGGCGGTCAAGAGAAAAATCAAATTGTGAAAGACTGATAGTGGCAGATTCGTTTTTGACGAAGAATTCGCGAAAGATGTCCTTGTTGAGAGAATGGCGGAGATAAGACGCTATGCGTTCAACGTTTATATTCGTGGGTGCAGGCGCAGCAGAGGTGCGCTCCGTGGTTACGATGCAGTCAAATTCTGGATAGAAAAGGGAGGGGAAAAGAGTGTTACAATATCATATTAGAATGTTGTTTGACGTATGTTTAGTAGGACTTACCCATTTGAAGCCATTCATGAAATTCTTTAAATTTTACGCGCTCTTCGTTAATCGCCAGAAGAAGCTCTTCAAGTCTTTTAATCAGGCGACCTGTTATTATGACGCATGCATGTATTGACTGTTCTTCAAGACCAAGTTCACCAAATTTCTGCGGCCTTAACAATGCATAACATTACATGATAAGCCTCCTGGTCCTTATTACGGTAGATCACAGTATAAGACGCTCACCATTTACTATATCCAACGAGTGCACTTAATTGTAACAACAGCTTTTCACATGCCGGTCGAATATAATCGTGAATTAATTCACGAATAAGTTCGAGACTTTTGATACCCTTGTTTTCCCAATCTTTTATTGCCTGGTAAACATTGTCATGAGCTATTGCAACAGAACAGTTTCAAATTTAAATAAATAATTAAAATCATTACCCTCTTTGTTGAGTGTAGTTCCACAAATTCTGCAAGCATTTTACTTGGCTTTCCGGTAGCCAGTAATCGACAATATTCCACTGATAGTGTTGGTTCCGGTAATCTCTGTGCTTTCCAAAAGTCTGATATGAAATGTGTGTATCGTTATTTAAAAGTCTACGAAATATAACGTTATTTGACAAGAGTTCCCATAAAGTCAAAAGTTGTCTACAATGTCTACCTTTATTATCTTCAGCAACCTCTTTGAATGGCTCTGTATGAGCAGCTTCCGAATCTTTCATGTGCTTGTACTCGGTTTCCATCTGACGAAGTCCCTCTGCGATATAACTAATCAAATACTTTATAGTGGTATAACGTTGCGAAAGTACGCGGATTTGTTGTTTATTTGTATGCAGCCAACCCGTATTGAATAAGGCTATTGTATAACAAGTCGTGGACGTGTTTGTATCAGATGAAGACTGACTGGCCGGATTTAAGTCGTCAGATTTTAAAAGTAATGCGATAGTTGACAAATCGAGCGAAGCAGCAGTGTTGAGAATTTGCACATTCTGCCAATATCAGACAAGCAGGTTAGGTATATGATGAAAAAAAAAAAAAAACAAAAACAAACGAAACATTGATGGCTACGATACCTTTCGATTCATCTGCTTCGACAAGGATATAGGCTCCAAGTTGTATATTCCATAAACGCTAGTAAACGGTATCAAAGTCATAAATTTATATAAAGCCGTTGGAAGTGAAAGTGATGTATGCTCACCTCAAATGCAGATTACCATGCTCATCGCCGGCAATGAGCAAATCGGTCGTTGTATTGCAATCATCGTCCGTTTCGTGTTCAGTTTTATTATATGAGCAACCTAATACTTTACTATATTACAATTAGGTGCAAATTAAGTAATCAATTGAAATACTGGATTTCAAACCCTACCTCATTTTTGAATTCGGCAGAGTGCTTAATCTTGGAAGATACTTTTCTATAGGATACACGCTCTCGTAAAGGTTTGTCTATGCCATGTAAATGAGCTAAATGACTATTAAATAAATGAATGTATTTATATCAGAGAATAAATTTAAGCCAACCCTCACCTCACTATCGTTATTCACAGAATCTTGCTCCCAGCAAAGAAATACGATAGGCGCCGAGTCGGCTCGAGCATAGTCCCCCATAGACTTTCGTGATAATTCGTGGATCATATCACTAGTGTCGACATTAAAGAGTCTGATAATAGCGCTAGAGTAGCCTATAGCCAAGACTCTGCCTAAGTATGAGATAGCAGGTCATTCCAAGGCCGTTGTTTTCTGAGACTAATTCTGGGTTATTCTTCAACTGCTTACACTAACAAACAGCCTCGTACCATCAGGTCTCCACGTTATAGTTTCTACTTTCTCATTCTGATATTTGAAGGATGGCAAAGTCCAATTTTTTTCAAGAGCTGAAAACCAACGCGCAACCCATACGTCTCCATTCACAGTACAAGCAGCGATCAAATCCATTGTCGGGCACATTGTTAAAAATTTGATACCCACGCTTACAGCGTGCTGGTTCATTAGCCTATAGGCTACAGGCGAAGCTGAGGCTACCTTTTCAAAAATCATGCTAGTCGAAGAAGGCACTACTATACGCGAACTGTCTAAATATTAAGCATTGCGCGCCACAGAGGTATTTATGAATGTTACACATGGGAATTTATTTCTTTACTGGGTTTAACATTGAAAATTAACTTTACCCCAACATACTAACTACAGTAATTATACAATTATGATCCTGAAACTTGGCTACGTTATTGCATTAAGAATAAAAAGACTGTTTAACTTAAGAAACCGAGGGCAGTAATAACACATTTCTCACGTTGTCAGCATAGTAATAGAAAAAAATCGTGCGAAAATAGAGTTGGTCTCAATTTCAGGGTTCTTTGACTTTGACGATTTCGTGGCGTTAGAGTTTAACCCTGAAAATATGTGGCGCAACCATGACATTTATTTAATATAGTGACATAAATAACTTGCGCAGAAGTTGTAATGGTCAAGCATCGACAAAAGTTGAAGCAAAAACTCCGCGTAACTTCAACTTCGACCACCACAGGTAACTTTTTCAAACTATTAAAGTGAATTCTCTTCGTAATTTCTCTTCTCACACAGTCTTTCCTTTCAATTAGCTACTTGGCGACAAACTCAAAAGTCTACTAATCAAGAGGAGTTCACCCCACTCGTAATAACACTCCTTGAAAAACTTCGTAACGAATCCCGTCCTCAAGCTTCTTCCCAAACAGATCTCTCCCTCCTACCTTCTCCAGCATACAACTACTTTTTACGTGAAGAGTCAGAACAAGCTCGACAAGCGCAACGTCGGATTGATGATATCAGTGGAAGAGTCTCTGGGCCTGCGCCACCGCTAAGCTGGCAGAATGTTTGGAAACATGGTGAGGGTAAGAATGAACATGGGCTATACAAGCGGGCTTTGGATGGTGAGATAGGCCAAAAAAAAAAAAAAAGAGAAGGAAGACCATGAGTTTTAGTTGTTAGACGTTATTAACAGTCTTTTACGCTTCTATTCTCCTAGTAAATACGGAAGAATTTCACGGTTTGCCCTCCTTGCAGGATATTAGTGCAAAATGTTTGGCTGTTAATCTCCAGTATTTTATTGGAAAGTCTTACTTTGCTCAGATGCCAACGCATCTGAAGCAGAGTATTCTTTATTATGCCAGCACATACAACCCCTTGAATGACGAGCTTTTTTCGTTGTTTGCGAATGACAAGGGATACGAAGAGTTAGTTCTAGCTAACAGTAAAGTGTCTTTTGAGACTCTGAAAAGAGCATTCTGGCGAACAGATAAAAAGCATCGAAAGGATTCCTTATCTTCTGTTGCAGTAAGTTGGGAAGAAATTATTGATGATGACAATGAGGATGATGATGAGGATGACGAAAAGGAGTATCCAGAAGATGAACTGAAAGAAAATGGAAAAGAAAATGCTGCAGTTATTAGCGAGTCTATAAATAATATCATCGAGGACTGCGCCGTAGCTCCTGTCGGCATTCAAGGAACTGGTCTTCCGACCGCAACAGTCAAGAAGAATGAGAAGAAAACCGTTTATTCTTGCACTCTTACCAATCTGCGCCGCCTGAATCTCGCTTTCAATAAACAAATTCCGGCAATGTCAATAGCAACACTTTTATCGTCAACTGTTCCTCTATTGACACACTTATCTATTGCCGGATGCTTTGATCAAGGGAGTGGCCCTCATGCGTTGGGAATCCTATCACGAGGATTAATTAATCTTGTCTTTTTAGATTTGTCTCATTGTGAATGGGTCAATGATTTAGTCTTAATGAAGTACGTAAACTGGCAAAGGGACTTGAAATATTTAAGAGCTCTTATTATAGTTGGCTGCAAAATTAAAGATGTGCAAGATGCATACTCTAAAGTTAGAGAAGACAGAGTCTGGATTGACATTGTTGTGTAATATTTATGTTGCTGAACAACTTCTGTTTTAATTAATTTGAAGTCCTTTATAATAAAAGAATAGCATGATTGCTTATTAAAAGCAGAGTTCAACTGGCAATATTCATGCTTGGTATCTAATTACTACAAAAATATCAAAGACAGTAGACCACACTTTGATTTTTTGTGGGATGCTTTGAAATATCTAACCCAATTAGTAATAGGTGATCACGGAAAATTTGTACGCGTATGGCCAGTAAAGCGATCCGCGATTATCAGCATTACATAATATCTCGCTAATTAACTGAATTAATGTTCATTCTTAGTCCGGAATGATTTGCATAATATTCTATCAAGTTCAAAAAATCGCTCTGGCATCTTCCAGCAGAGCTTGGAAATTTTGACGTGAGCCAGCTTCCACCTGATCGTACATACCTTGAGATTTAGCTGGAAAGCTAGTACAAGGTGCTAATCAAATGAGAAAGCTATTTTAAAATGAAAATTAATTGGGTTTAGTTAGAAGATTAAATAATATAAAATTTTATTGTTCCAGCATTCTCTGCAATACAATACATAGCGCTTTAGCACGATTTTTACATGATTATTTCTTTCGTGTGATGTGGATGCGAAGTGAGCGTGTATGCTAATATTTCTCGATCAAGTTTCATTACAACGAAGTAGATTTTGAAATGCGCAGTACCATTCAATTATACAGATAGTTCGTCATCATGTATCACGGGCATAAGTTACGCATCATTTAATTTTATTCTCAAACGTTCCTCATGTACTCATATAATAAAACCCTTTGTTGAGGATTATAGGTGATCACAACTTCATCGGGATGGCATTAAATTCTTTTTTATTAAGTTAAGGAGAGCCATTGATCAGATTTTCGTGATGCGATCATATTAACTATTAACGTAATTTCCCCCAAAAATGGGTATTCCAAAATTGATCCTGCAAATTATATAAAATGGCGATGTCCATCCTTTTATCTGCCTTGTGCAAGCAAAACGAAAAACTTACTATTATTTACATCATCAATGTTATCATTCCAGCGAACAAGTATATTCGGCAAGGTGATAACAAAGTATGTTTGTTTTATTGTTCAGTTAGCTTCTTGAAACATGCCCTTCCCGCCTCTATAGATGTTCCCAAAATAAACCAGACATATTACTCTTCTTGTTATATATTGGCATTTTGATCTTTCGCCGAGAAAATCCTCGATCATTATGCGTATAATAAATCGCAGTGTCACGAAAAAAGTAATCAATTCCTCATATATGCGATGGAATGGAATATTGTGAAAATGAACCATATCAGTAAGTGTGGATTGGAAGAATTATTTTTTTACTTCAGTTGCTAATCTCCCGAATTTAACGCTGTAGATTAAAAATTTATCTATTTTGCTAAAGTTCTCAATCTTAAATAATCTATGCGTAGTGATATATATTCTATGGGTAATTAATTTCGGAAATATCGTGTAGAAAAAGAGTGTGAGTAAAGTGAGTAGCGATAGAGTTTATTAACCTGAACAACAATAAATTTGCACTTGGCAGGAACTTTAACTACCTTATACAGAAAACATTGTTGTAGCAAGAAAGAAGCGACCCTAATTATAAACGGATAAGTGTTCCCCGGATTTGTTCCTTATTTTAATTCCATTATTATTCACCACACATAGCGACTAAACTAACTTTATTTAATTTTCGGAAACAAAAAATGTGAGAGGGAAAAGATTGACGGAGCGATTTTTGAACAGCCACTATTAACATAAAATTGATATGCCTTTTCTGTTTCCAATCGTATTAATAAAGCTTGCAAATAGAAGCATAAAGATATTAAGTAATATACAGCGTCTAAATCGAGATCTAGTCTCTTAATATCGACACCACTGCAAGTATAAATTATCTTACTGAAACGAAAAGCAGTCCCTTATTCTTTCAAACTCTACAAAACGTGTTCACCATTAAATTGTTTGTACTCTCTCCCTCGCAAACCCTTTCACTCATGCCATATCAGATCGTTCATATGCGCTGCAGCACGCATCCGACGTGACCAACTCTGAATCCAGCAGAAGTAGATTATTATCTATTATTAAAAGTCTTCACTTATGTGTTTGTGAATCTAACGACCATTACACTCAAGTTGTCCATGCTAAAATTCTGTAGTGCATATTCAAGCAGTTTCTCGCTTGCTACTTGTGGGTCCATAACGTCTTTGACAAGATCTACTGCCTCTTGATCACTACAGACATCCCAGAGCTAGGTGAAAGCAACCAATGGTAAGTATGTTGAGAGGTCAGGCGAACTCCGTTGATCATCTATACTTACCCCATCACACGCTAATATCAAGAACGTGTCTTTTTCTGTCAATGCTGTTTCTGTGGTGTATGGAGCACCCACGACACAACCTTTCATTGAGCAGTCACCTAACGATCGAGTTACTGCCAGTACGCCTATAATATGAACAATAAAGGTAAATTAACAATGTTGATTACTTTTTAATAATTATCATGGTGCGTACCATTAACACGATTATTCAATACAAAGCCACCAGCATCGACAACACGCTTTGCCTCTTGAACATCGCTACCCTTGTGATCGTAAGAAAGTCTTTTTGCAACTCCATCACGGCTGAAGATAGAAGTAACGGATAAGCATTCATTAGCAACATTCCATCAAAATACACACTGAACAAGTGAGGCTCCTTACCATAATACTGCTCGCGCATCACCAACATTAGCTGTGTACAAAGAGCGCTGAATGTAAAAGAAAGTGATCAGTACTATCAACGCAAATTGACTGAAAGACAGAGTAGAGTAATGGTACTGGCAATCATTAGAAATAAAATTTGTCGTTATTGTGGCGTTATAACGTGACCTTTGTTAATTCTTACTTTGTACGTTTTCTTTGCTGAATCTGTGCCATTACGCGCCACAATTTCGGTTCCCTCACTTTCATTGCATTCATCGCATATATCTGTGCGAACAAGTGCAGCAATGGCCGTACATCCCGAATGCTTGCCAGCGCTTTCATTCAGTCGCTGATCTGCTTCTGCAAAGGTAAGATTAAATACTTCTGGAATAGGTAACGTTGGATTCTTCTCAAGAACTTCTTGAAACGTCTAAATAATGATAAAAATGTTAGAACACAGTCACGCGAGTCTCCGTAATGACGATTTTTACTATGACATGATAAGACAAGAGGAAGCCGTTTGACATTTATTTATTAGGAACGAGTTTCACGAATGTGACAAGGGTTTATTATTCTTCTCAAACGCAAATCAGTAGAAGATAACAGAATCTGCTTAGAAGATCCTTACCTCATGAAAGTGATTTCCACACCATTCAGCAGCTTGCTTGCCAGCATGACCGTCAAAGATAGCAAAAAAGCCTTGTCCCTCGACACCAGCAAAGTCATAAAAGTAACAATGAGCATCCTAATGCAAATTCAGGGCGGGGGTAACGCAATCAGCACTAACGAGAGAGAAAAATTCTTCAATCATAGCTGACCGACCAACCTCCATGCTTCTTCGGTAACGCTTGTTGCGATCCTCGACGACCCCAACTTTAAAATAGGGAAACTGGGTGCGCTCCTTCGTCGTTGTTATTTCAGTTCCCTCTGCTGAAGAAGTTTCGCCCTGAATTGAAGAGCATTCCTTTTGTTCCTTGACCAATTCAATACCAGTTGAAGAGGAAGTAGGTGAAGTCACGTCATCTTCGGTTTGACCGGTTATTTCTTCATTAGTTGTAGTTTCAGTTCCCGGCAAAGTGCTCACACTCTGAACCTCTGACATTATGGGTGTGAAAAGCCGGACAAAATGTTCTTTTACTATTGTCAGTTTACGGCATACTTTGACGGCAAAAACCCTTTCTGATTCATTCGGGTGATACGCATAGCCATACTACATATGGTAATCTAAATGAAAATCGTTTCTTCACTAAGAATTAAAATAGTCAAAACCCTCGATGAGTCAGCCAAAAGTGGGATGGACTCACCGATTTAATTAAATCACGCGAATTTAATATTAAAACGAGGCGCGTCTTTCTGTTGGCCTGTAACGTAGCGACTCATTACGTGTTCGCGGCAAACCTTTATTAACCACCATGAGAAGGCTAAGACTGACGCGATGGTGTTAAGTGAAAGAGTGTGATGACTACACTACGTGTTTAGAGCGGCGAATTACCATTACGCTCTACCGCTGACATTTTTCTCTTACATAAAACAAGTTACAAGTCAGTCTATCGTGATTTTATCGCAGGTCTTGAAACAATAACACATTGAAATTATGAATTAGCAAGATCATATCCAAGACTAGAAGTTCTAATTCTTCTAAATTGCTTTATTGGTGATATATCAATTCATGAAATTATTCAAACCTGCGTAGTCTTGATCTCAAAAAATGTGACTCTGTTACTGATGAGGCAATCAATGCCTTATGACTAGTAACCCACACGTTAATATCAGAGAGCCTTGAGTGATTTGCTATATCCCATCTGTATTATATAGGCCTAACCCATTACTTTGTAATAAAAGTCATTATTTTTCAGGTATAATTAATAGTGACTTTGCTTGATCAAGATGAAAGAAGAAAAAATGTCCATATATCAAAAACGATAATCTCGCATTAATAGGCAAGCATTTGGAGCCGAAATGGCAACTTGTACAAAACAGCTTTCAGAATGCCTCTAAATCATATCGAGAAGATGTCACATTTAAAAGGATATCTCCAGATAAAATTTCAGATATAACTAAATTCTCTCCAGAGCGAAATACAGTTGTTATATTTAAGGATCTATGCGCCGAATCTAAAAAAAAGTACAAGAACGAATTATTCCTTATTCATTAGTGGTCGGCATCAAAATAACTCGCCAATATATGTATTACAGAAATATACACAAACACCTAAAATTATCCGCTCTTGCACTATTTCGGGGGCGGGAAGCCGAGACGACATTCATAGAATCGCGCGATAATATACGGATAATCAAAAAAAAAGTGTCCAAGATTATTGATAGCATTTGCGGGATCGAGAATTCGTGGTTTTTGATTTTCCCAAGGCGGTGGATGACCCACTTGCTATTAGATTGGGTTGGGATACACTCTTAAAATTGGATTAGGGTTCGATATCACCCCACCCTTGTATATTAATACTAATTATATTACATTCTATATACAGTAATAAAACAACCACACAAGGTGTAATATCGATATTTTTTTTACGGGTAGTGCACAGAGTAATCTTGTATTTTTTATTTTTTTCAATACACATTACATTCCATACAATGTTAAAAATCAAATTCCCCACTTCGAGAAAACTTATAGTGCAATACATAATTATCAATAAAAATCGATCAATCGATCGCAGGAGGCGGAATATTTAGATTGGTATATGAGTTTTGTGAGGTGATTCTTTATGGTACGACAAGCCAATAGGTGTATCCAATTCCTCAATAGAACGATCAACTTTTTCCTGAGTAAAAGAAATAATTAAAATTATAAGATGCAACTTGTTTAAGAATATGACAACAGACTCTTACCAACAAACTATAGAAGTATGAAATGGCAGAAAAAAGTTTGCGTCCTCGGTAGGTAATAACATCCTTCCTATCTGTTTGAACGATATAATCCGTCAAATGGGAAGATCCATGCTAAACAATTCGATTTGATACCCTGTTAAACGTATGTCTAGTCAGTTAGCAAAGTTGACCCAGTTAAAGCTTTAGAAAATTTCGCTAATGACAATCTAACCTTTAATTATGTATCCAAATGTCTCTAAACACGGAGAATACCCAAACTGCTTGTGTAAAGAATCCAGAGAACCTTTCGTAAATACTCCAAGTTTTGCAATGACTGTCAAAAGGCTTAATGGGGGTGAGATTTCTATCTTCAAGTAGCGACTGCAAAGCGACTTGTTAACACTGCTGTTTATTTGAAGCTTGACGCAACGCAATGACTGTCAAAAGGCTTAATGGGAGTGAAACGAAATTTATTTTCAGATGTCAAGAGAAGCAAATGAAATAGATCCTAGGCCATTCAATGCGAATTTGCTTACGAAATTGAATTTGGTAGCAAAATCGTCGAATCGAGGATTTAGGAGAAAGCGATATTTGGCGAATTCGTTCATTACAAAAAAAACCAACACTTTTTTATTGCCCGGATTTTATTTAAATTTGGATGTTTGGAAAACTTTTTAATTTCAAATCGATCGTAAAGCTGTCTGCGATTGTTAGCGGTTCCACATTCTTTGGAAAATTTTATTTACGTAGTAGCATTTGATTATTATAATTTTCCTAGCAGGAAATAAGAATTATTGTACCTACAGTACATGTCTAATGTATCTTCCAAAGTTTGGCTGGATTGTCACGATTGTCGATCACGACAACAGCATTAGTCGGTAATGATGCCGCGTTCCACAATAAAGTGCACTATCAAATAACTGATCAGGTAGCGTAAAAATTCAATGAATATAATGTATTTTAGAAAAAACACAGTGAACCTGGATATAACGATGGGTTTTTTTGATGTCCCGAATTTTGTTTAATAAAATTTCCTGGATATAACGAAAACCTGCTATAACGAAGGAGTCAGCTTGTTATATATCTGATCGAGAAGTGTTTCTTTCTACTATGCGGGTGTCATTTCTACCTTACATAACTTACTTTGGACCACCTCGGACAAAACTAACTCGGCTCAATTCCGATTTATTATATGGTCGAAAGTGGTTTTACTTTAATAAAGTATGACCCGAATTCTGACTAAATAAATGCCTAAAAACCCAAGAATTTACTGGCGAATAGCTTGAGTTATTATTATTATTTTTTATATTACATTTAAATATGATTTCTTCACAATAAGAACCAGTTTCACTTTACTAGGTCAACCGCATGCCTATAAACTCTCTTGTTCTTGGCCCAATCGAAATTTATAATACTTCTCAATTACCCCCGTCTATCCTATCGCCCATGTAAATTTACACATACATGCATGTTTATGGGTTCTCTTGATCATATTCATCATTCATGTTGTTATTTACTGTACCTGGCCAAAGCGAGCTTGATCTGTCTTCGCGTAATCAACAGTGGATATTTATTTTTACGCATGGATTTTTAACAGACTTCATTGGTTCGAATAACAAAAATTCTTCATTTAATTTATTAAACTGACGTTTAGCATCCGCACAATTAGCATAATTTTATTGGCGCGACCAATTTTTATTGTAATTAACGCAATTATCGCGTACTTTTTTACTGTTCAGTATCGAATGCAGATTGCGTGGTTTTACAACATTTTTCTGGCGTGCGTATAATTACACTTTTTTTTCTCTATCGATTAAACGACTCCATCTAATCCCATCCTTCTAAATTAGCCATACAATACTGTATATCAACGACTTCCTTAGGAGCGGTCACGCTCAATATAATCGGTTCGGTCTCACCGACTAGTACGTTGTCTTCTATTCGTATTCCAATACCTTGATATTGTTCAGGATACTCATTCTTGAATGGAACGTACAATCCGGGCTCTGTGTTGTAATCATGTTAATAAACGAAAAATTGAAGTTACCATGATTATAAGAAATTTCTAATTACCTATCGTAACCACCATTCCTTTTTTTAGTTTCCGTGAACGATCCAAGTCGGGAGTATCATGAACATCGAGCCCAAGGTAGTGGCCAACGTGGTGAGGATACAGCGTTCGATCGAGCTCCTAAAGAAAATTATGAGACTCGGTATACAGCACCAGTCAGAAGAGAAAAAAGAAGAAACAAGATTTGTGGTATTACCCCTTCTGATAGTCTGAATCCAAGCTGGGCTAATTCTTCATTCATGAGTTTGAGTGACAAATCATGTATACCATTCAAAGATATACCATGTTTCTCAGTGCAAAGCTATCCGGGACAAGAGGGCAAGATGATTAATAAGGCCTTAGCTTATTCATAATTTAGCCTTCATTACTAGACGTCAGAATGAGCTTTGATTGTCGGGCTATATAATCGTATCTATTCACATACCTTTATACATTCTCTGTTAACCTTGAGTACTACTTCGTACAACTCTCGCTGAGGCCCTGTAAATTTCCCATTTACTGGCCATGTACGCGTAATATCACACGCGTATCCGTGATATTCCTAAACAACAAAGAATTCCAATATTACAATGATTGCCGGAAAACGGGATAAGTCATTGATATTTCGGCAAACTTACACCTCCGGCATCCATTAATACCATATCGCCATTACTATCGATTCACCAAAATATATCGTTAGCATCGCGCACTTTTACTTGTACTATTTTCAGTACTAGATTATAATCGTAGAGGCACGACTAATAAAATACCGTAAAGGCATGTTATTGCTCACATAATGCATCGTAAGAGCATTTGGACCACCAGCTACGACAGGAACATAGGCAAGGTACTCTGCACCGCGTGTTCGACACTCAAAATCTATCTTTGCGTACAAATCGTGCTCGAGAAGACCAGGTTTCGTGTATCGCATGGTCTAATAACAAGTTATAGTCAATACTCTTAAAATTTTGCGATATTTTACGTTAATTCTTAAAATACCTCAATAAAAGCCTTTCCCGTGATTTCACCAGCCTGCCTCATCAATTTAATTTCAGAAGTACTCTTAATAATTCTCAGGTTCTGTACTATTCGACTGAGTGGCTTGATTTCGTTTGCTTGATCATTTAAACCAGTGAAATAACGATGTAATGCTAAGCGATCCAAAAAGTCACTCATCTTACGAAACCATGATAATGATTGCAAAAATGCAATACCACGTGCACGATTGAAATTCTTAGTCACATTCTCAGCTGAAAGGAGATTGGTCCGTGGAGGGAGGTCAATATAGATGTCTTGGTAGTTTTTCACTATGTCTCTGACTTTGATATTAAATTTTGCAGATTCCATAGCCTTTAAAGCAAAAAAAGCATACATGTTAAATATTTACTATTGTGAATAAGCGAGGTCAAGAACGTGTATGTATGTTTGCGAGTGCATTGACCTTTGAGCGTTTCCATTACAGATCATTACCTCGTCCGCTCCGAATACATCGATTGCGCCATGAACACCAGTCCGTGAACCATCCCACATCTCAATTCCTTGATTTTTGGGCGGCACAAACATTGTCATTTTGTAACCTCTTGGGCTGCTATTCTTTTCTTACGTGAAGCAGTTATGTATTAGTTCGAGAACGAACAACGTTAATTCTCAGAAAAGTATAAAAACCATTATACCTAAAATCATGGCCGCATCCGGTTCATTGAAACCTAATTCATACGTGTTTAGTTAGACGTTTTCCAAGTGACAGACATGAAAATCATGAAAAAAATAGATACCACATAAATAAAAAAAGTCTGTATTCTGATGGAACGGATAGCTAAATCAATGAAAAAGACACTTGTGAGAATTAAATTATTTCATCAAAGACATAAATTCACTCGCATATTATCGCCCTTATCTAGGCACTAGCATTCAGCATTCATTATCATGACGGTAGCAATGCCAATGGCGATAAACTCGAGTGAGCAAACAATTTCATACGAACAATACTTTGTTTGACATGTAACGCGTCCGATAGCCTAAGGAAATTGCCACGCTATTCTCTGGGAGAAGTTTCATCAGTTGAGTCCGGCGAAGTTCGTATTCAGTAGCTGAGATTCCCGGCGTAACTAAAACGTGCTCACATGAACTAAATGTTAACCAAAGGCAAGCATGCATTTGTCAAAATCAAAGACTATGATTACTTTCTCCTGGCTTCAAGAGATGTGGGTGTGTTTGTGGAGTCGGTTGCCCATATCGCCTCGACATTAAGATGCCGAAATGTCTCCGAAGCGTGCCTGGTTCAGTACCGCAAACTATTTACGAGCAGATAGTTTAACTTGGGGGGGGGGGGGGGGAAAGAAAACCAGGATCGCGACGAAAAAAATAAAAGCTACCTTGGAGCTTACGTGCACTAAGCGAGGACACCGAGCGTATGCATTTGCAAAAGATAGAAACTTTTAACCGAAACATGGAAAATATAACAAGGAAAAACTTTCTTATTTGAAAATTTCAAAGGGGAAATTTTCAAAAAAAACGTGACAATTTTATAATTTATCACCTTCATTTTTATTTTAAATAGAGCTTTTACACATGTCCCTCACCGGCCGTAAACCTACAATAACTCTCCCCTGGATATACGAAGACGCACATCCACCCGTTCCATTAACGCGCAAACTCACCCAATCTCTCTTCTTCGCTGTGCTTTTTGTTGTCCTCGCCACCTCAGTCTTTGTAAACGTATCATATTTCTCCTCCTGCAACGCAGACAAATCAGACGCAAGTATCATAGAAACATCGTTAGCGGATGACTTGCTTCCACCTCCACCACATCCCGAACTAAAGGATCTTATCCTTGTTGCAGGGCATGCAATTTATATTGGGGATAATTTTGAGGACATAGAAGACGACGAAAACTGGGTTTTAGAGAAGTTTCAAAGAGATGGCCAGGTTAAGACTTTTCTGAAGCATATACAGAGAGGAGTCGAACTTGCTCAGCAAAACGAGGAATCATTATTAATATTTAGTGGGTACGAAGAAGGTTTCTCTTGAGTTGTCTTAATTACAAAGTTTAATGATACAACTTGGCTGACGAGTCTAATTGTGTTAATGGGTATCTCTCAGCGGCCAGACTAGACCAGCAGCGGGTGCTCGAAGCGAAGCGCAGAGTTATTGGGTAATGTCGAACAAATTCAACCACGACCATTTTCTTCCATTCCAATGTGTTGTTTCGTTCGATTCTCTGCTTACCGGACGCGCGTTCGTACATTCAAAACAGCTTTTAGCACAAACTCTAAGTTTTTTCTCTAATCTGGGAATTTCGCCCTTGGACAATTTCCCTCGTGCTACAACGGAAGAATACGCCCGCGATTCATATGAAAATTTGTTATTTTCTCTTTGTCGTTTTTACGAGTTCACTGGACATTATCCGCGAAACGTTACTGTTGTAGGTTTTGAGTTTAAGAAGAAAAGATTTATAGAACTACATAGAGCAGCAGTAAAGTTTCCTGAGGAAAGGTGAGTCTGTTACGGAATGGACAATTGGCAATTTTATTGATGTTGAAACTAAATGTAATCATATTTATGCGAATTAAAGATTTTCATATGTTGGAATTGATCCAGATAGAATTATTCAAGGGAAGCAGCCCAAGGTACTAAATATAAGTTAAACGTTTATGATTTCTATGTTTATGAACGAACAAATTATACCATTCAATGTTAATTTTTTTTTTGAATATATATACAGAAAATTGACGTTTTCGAATCATTTAAAAATGATTTGTATGGTTGTTCAGGAAAGCTACGCGAAAAAAAACTTGCGCGCAATCCATTTCGACGAAGGTGAGTTACCGTTGAATTGATATCCGTCTCTCTGTTTCCAATTGCTAATAGTTTTTACTTCACCACTAGTCATCCGTATAGACAAAGCTGCCCGTCTATAGCTGCTTTATTTAACTATTGTCCAAAGAAAAAAGCATCAGTTTATCCGGATAACGTGCCTTGGGAATGAAAAGATTACCGTCTGAATTAACGTATGATATGTGGGATACAAAAAGGAACAAAAGGGTCACGTAGAATTGCAGGGATTTGACATGCTGAACGTCCATGCCATTCAGTGATTAAAGCCATTCAACTACTTAGTTTCTTTGTTTCTCAATAATTTGAATTGTCTCAAGTGTGTCACCAATTGGACGTAAAGAGCTTGCTGTCAAGATATCCGTACACCAAATATTTATTGTTATATTTAATGTTTTGGGCTTTTCGATCTTATATGGGACGTGCTGCAACAAAACCAGACAAAGTGAACATTTGACGTCACATACTGTGGCTTAGTATTTAGGGTGAAAAATTTTCTTGCCGCGTCTATTTGATTACCCTTCGTCTTTTCCCTTGCTGCTTTTTTGTTAATGCCAGGTCATTAAGATTTCGCAAGTTCACAAAATATGAAGTGTGTTGTTTTGGCGATCTTCCGTAAACGAAGATTGTTTTGTCGACGGGTTAGAAATTCTAGAAGGTAGTTATCACGTTCTTTTTGGAGCACCATCTTGATTAAAACAATGTTTTCTTTCGCGTTCATGGTGCGTTTGAAGACTGCTATTGGGAAGTTTGAGGTTTTTTGATATTATTTTTCTTTATGCTTTCTGATTTTACCCTAGAAAGAGCAATCTTTGGTTTTGCTTCTGTGACGATCTTCGGTTTCGGATGAAGCCGGGTTCTCGCGTATGTTCCAGTCTTGATGTTACAACATAATTATTTGAAAGCTCGACTATTCGTTCGGTTTCCGCGTACCATTGCAGATACGGTCGACTCGATGTCGTTGTTCTGGTTGGTGCTTACAAAAATATTTTGGCGGTTCGAGATGACTGGGACAACCGAGTTCTGGACTGAGTGACTGGGTTCTGAACTGAGACAGGTCCTGAACTCAGACACAACAAAACCATGCCACTGGATCTACGTGTAGGTATAAATTCCAGACGCCGTCGGTTTTTTTTTTCAGACAGCACGATTCTGTATTTTTCCTCGAATTCCCGGTGACTTTTAATAATAGTCAAGCAGGTATTTCCCAGTTCGGCTATATCTGATGCTGCTTTTCCTA